GAGAGAGAGAGATAGGTATAGATAGATATAGATAGATAGATAAATAGATCGATGGATATAAGATGGATAGATGGATGATAAATAAATGGATAGATTTGACTTCACAATTCCAAGCATATAATTTGAACTGTAAACTCATACGCGGTGACAAGCTCTTTACTCCGGCAATATCCAGATATTGCACTGCCGTTAGGTTGCCGAATACATCAGGATGTAAGGAAGCGCTACTGAAAGGGTTCCTGCAGTTAAAAACGCAATACTGTAGTTAATTTTTCTTTCCTGTATATTTGTTCATAGTAAAAGGTGTGACGTACAGAAGTGTTAAGTAATTTGTAGTATTATTTGTTTATCGACAAATTACTATGACTATGCATGAAAACTGGATGTATTGTAGTATTTACCATACAAGTCTGTGGGCTGAATTTGAATATGAATATGAATGTTACAATTCATAAAATACAGATCATATAAAGTTATTTAACACTTACTGGGTTTGAATTAAAACTAGGAAGATATAGTGAAACAAAATCCGTGAAGGTGTTATGATTTTTTGTAAACTTAATAATTATATTATCAGAACGTTTTAAATGATACATGTACCTCGGAATTAAAAGCGTTGTTAGAGCTGGTAGATTGGCGAAAGCAAACGCGTTGAAGCTTTGGAACTGATTTCCTCCAAGTAGCAATGTTCGCAACGCCGTCAAGCCTGCAAAACACCCGATTTTGTTACAATTATTAAAATCATTTGCGTCAATTTAATGACGCAATCCAATCAGATGTTTGGGGGCTGGGTGGGTGACAGTATCTAAAAACAGTATCAAATTTTATACTGCCTGGCCTATTGGATTGTCTTCTGTCAAAAGTTTGCATGAATTACAAACACCCATCTGCTTTGACATTAGCAATGGAGAAGATAGTATGTCTTGTGTATATATGATGACCATGTAGACAGCATTTCACCAAGGTTTTACCAAAGTTTATGTTTCATACCATAATTACATACTACACATTCCTGGTGGCATCTAAAACGCTACCATCACCGCTGAGCACAAATAGTACAGTAAAGACATCCCATGTAATTTTAGGGAGAAAAACTGGAAATATTCTGAATAAGGCCCTCTGTATGATATTGATACATACTGTCCCACATTAGCACATTTGAATCAGTATTTCAGTACTTTAGGCATTTAAAACTGCAGAAACAAGCCCCACTAGTTCTTTATTGTCTAGGCAGGTCCTTTTGCTGCATGAATATCGACATACATTTGGACAGTGTTGTTTCAGCTTGATGACGAGAATATAGACATAAAAACTGCACTGGATACTGTATTCTGTGGATAAATGTATGCTGTGTTTACCTTGAAATGTTGCTGCAGAAATGTTCGTCAGACGGTTGCCATATAGACTTAAGAAGACAAGGTTGCCGAGATTGGCGAATGAACCATCTTCTAGTCCCTCACTTGTAATTTCATTGTCCTGTTGTAAACATAATAGAGCTTTTGAAATGCTTAAGCAACTGTACAATTGCTTAGCATTAAATATTTACTTCGTTGGACAAGCCGTATACGATAGTAGTGCATGAAGTAAACGTTAAAGTTGTTACTTTTCCTTTTATTTATGCTGTAGCACATATGTTAAGCTAAATGAATGCAGTTTGTAACGTTTAATTCAAGCAGTAAAGACAAGCTTACTGCGTATTGAAGGCTGTTGTTATGCCAAACGTCTTTTGGCTATGTGCATTAAAGTGTCTAAACACAAAGAACTGAGAACGTCTTGAACAAAAAATAACAAAGAAAAATTCCGAATTTGAGAGGATAATAGTTAACTCCTGCGACTTACGAATAGCGTCAAAAAAGACAGTTTTGTTAGCCTTGCGAAATCCTCCCTCCTCACAGCCGTGAGGCGATTCCTTGAGACGTACAGCACCTTAAATAAGGACAGAATACGCATGTAAACTGTTATCCTACTTCTAAATCTGTACTGCTTATCTTTAAATAGTAATCGTCATTCAAATAAAACCATCTAAGATTAAGATTCCCACGACTTAGCTACATAGGGTTCTGTGCTAAATATTACACCTTAAGTTAAGAGAGATTCAAATGCGGTAAAACACAAGAGCCTGCGATGGCTTAAGATTTATACATAAAGTCAATCGCTGTCAGAATTTGATGAAATTGATTCTTGCTACAGTAAAGTCAAACTGTACCCGCTAACGGGCGAGGAAGTGATTGTACAATGGAGAAGTAGCATAAACACACCAAACAAGTCATGTAGAAAAGAACGATGCTCACCTCCAGTCCTGTGTTGTCTGTTCTATCGTCAGGAGCCAGACCGATAAAAGTGGATGCGGAGATGTCCTGTAGCGAATTCGTGAACAGTGACAGTGTGTGTAGTTTGACCAGATCACGAAACGCACCGTCTTCTACAGTGCTGATGTTGTTACTATCCAGAGATAGTGCCGTAAGATTGAACAATCCAGAGAATGTTTTCCGTGTGATTTTGGAGATTCCGTTAGATACAAGATCCAGAAACTCCAGCGCTATGGCACCATTGAAGACCATATCTGGTAGATTCTGTATCTTGTTGTTAGCCAAAACAAGGCTCTTCAACGAGGACAGCCCCATAAATGTCTCGTTGGTCAGCCGAAGGATCTGGTTGGAATGCAGATAGAGGACACGTAACTTCTTGAGACCACTGAAGCTCCCATCTTCAATCGTTGAGATGTTGTTGGACGATAAGTTGAGCTCCGTAAGCAATGGGACACCAGTGAACATACTGATCGCTATCGATGTAAGTTTGTTTCCCTGTAAGTCCAGCATCTCCAAACTACTTGGACTATCAATCCCCGAAAACGCTTCTACAGTTTCGATGTTGTTACGATTCAGATACAGTTTCAGAAGTTGGCTTAGTCCATCAAAAGCACCACTGACCACATTGGTGATTTTATTCCCTCCAAGTCGAAGAATCTGAAGATTTGGACGCAGACGGAAGGGAGATCTTTCAAGCGTCGTGATCGAGTTATCTTCGAGGCTTAGTTCTAACAGGTTTAGGAGTACAGGCGTCGGGGGAACACTTGTCATCAGATTGTCATTCATCAGAAAAGTTCCTGTCGAGGATGGTATCAATTCTTCTGGTGGGAAGCCTGGGTGGCCCCCGTGACTGCAATCCATCTTGGTACCTTTGGATCAATTTAATTTATTATTTATCATCATGATAGACAAAATATTAAGTGATTATATAATTGATAAGTGAAAAGTTGTAGCCTGGGTGTCAGCCTTGTTAGCTTTCGTCCGCTCCCCAAGATCTTGGGGAGCGGACGAAAGCTAACAAGGCTGGCACTCAGACTAGAAAAGTTGTGCTGAATGATTTTGTTTTAAATTCCAGGCCATTCGGTGCTTCAATACCAGGGCACTTGAGTCTAAAATATACATTTTTAACAAGACATATGAAACCAATCCTGCCAGCCATTCGTAAGTTATCTTGTTGACTCACAAACACACAAACACTGCCTAAACTATAACCTTGTGGCCAAGGTAATAAATAATTAAATGTACCTTCACAACGGCATCGCCTTGCACAGTACTGGGCAGACACCATACTGAAGACCACAGTGAGCACATACACACATAGCAACAGACAAGACGCCAACTTCCGCGCCATCATATTCAGCTGTTGCCAAAAAATGAACAAAGTACCAGCATATTTGTCAGTAAACCTTGCATCTAACAAGACCTGAGATTTAATCAACGTAATTAGTTTGCTGTTTGTTTACCTTGCGCATTTGTCTTTTCCAGAGACTGAAAAATTATTTCAAAAGCCTTTATCAAATCGACAAATGATAGCCTTGGGGCATTCTATGGCATTGATTAGTGAATTGGGTACGTACGATATGTAAACATAATACATAAGAGCTTACTTGAACCCCTCCCCTTGTTAAAAAAAATGACCGTCTACCCTTCACAGTCTTTGATCGTAAAAGATTACAAGAAACATGTATAACAACCTGCCTTACTTTAAAGACCATATCACAGTCATCATATAAACTTCATATACAAACGTCTCACTGGTGCTAGAACTGTGTGTAACTTCTGTCTTACCTTTGTTGTTGTAAGCTACAGATCACATATGAAGTGGTCGACTTCAGACGCTGTTTCCTGAATTAGTGCAGTCAAGCTGAAGAAGTTGCCTGACAAGTTTTGATGACGAGGTCCTTGAAAGATTCACACCCCCCCTCCCACCTTCTCACCTAAGAGTGCATGTAGTTGTTGCCAGGGCTCTGGTATTTCTATTTATCGAAACTATGTATAAGTTGATGTATAAATGTGTTGTTGAGATATGATCTGCAACGTCATATCTTATGAACGGTTGACAGTTGAATGTACGAGTTATTCTGCTGGATTACCCTAAATAAGTACAGAAATTCCACGTGAACATTCTATACATGTGATTGGATTCGCAGTAACTTTGCATGAAGTTCGCATCAAGCTAAAGGTTGTTTCTTTAAAAATAAGAACACGGCTGTGGTATGTTGACGATATAATCTGGTCTTTCCTCCTTGCAAAAGTTAATTTTTTTGTCCTTCAGGCCCTGTGCAGACACTGAGGTCGAGTCCGCCCCGGGCGAGGTAAAGGCCAAGCGACGTGCTGCATTTTTTCGTAAAATGTCAAAGTTGAAGGCCTATAAGACAACCAAAACACGCCGGGACACGTATCAAGTATAGTCAAGACTAAAACTGACTTACAAAAGAAGGGCCTTGACCTCGCGCATGGAACCATTGGCACCCTTAATATCTAGTTTCATCAGGCTAGGTGAGTCTTTCTTTTTCCATTGATATATCTGTGCTGCTTATTCAGTAATACGTAAAGAAACTGCTTAAATGTACAACAACAGGTGTGCAATGTTGATTTAATAATTTCATTTTATTTGAGGTAACAACAACACCACATAAGTATGGATTGCCGACCTTTCAACCTATTTTGTTAAATCAAGAAACCTGTCAAAACCGTAACTTTATATCAGGAAGGTTACGACGTTGCAAAAAATACGGCGCTTTGGTCTATAATCACATCATATATATGTAGAATAATTTTGTTTTAAAAAGAGTTTCTGTTTCTGTATTTCTGTATCTCTATAACCAGTATATCCACCCGTCGGCGTAACACACCAGCGAAGTTATAAAGTAAAGAGTAGGTTATAAATGTATAATACACGTATATCATAATTGTAGTTTGCTTCATATCTGGAACAAGTTTTAATTAGTATAACCTTACACCTAAATACGAAAGATAAAATGAGGTATACATCGTCAAAATGGTAATAAGTGACAATATGTCAATTTTTGCAAAAAATAATCAGCACAGCTATCGTAATTAGAATTGTAAATTTGGCAAAGTTTTTATAGATTTATAACTTAGATGTTCTATATACAGAACTTCGAGCGTCATTATGGAAGAGATGACTGGTGCCGTAGCCGGTTGCTTCGTTCTTTTCTTTCTCTCTTCTTCTTTCTTCCCTTTTCAGTCAAGATGATAATCGATCTGAAAACACACATTAAAAAAAATAAAGATGACTTGGTATTTTTGGTACATCTATCATAAAAATGAACGCAATCTTCAAAAATCTTTTTTACCAAGTTACTGAAACGTCGACCCTCCTTTAATATAATACCTCCTTTCCATTATAAATGACAAAGATCATCATTTTGGGTAGGCGCAGAAGGCCCATGTTGAGTTGAGTTGTGATGAGTTTGTGCCGATACAAAAATAAGAACTTTGGGCTAAATGAACAGTTTGCAGGTCAAGCTACCCTGTCAATGTGAGTTTTCAATAGTTGAACCCTCAAGTAGGTGATTTTCGACAGCTTATTTCTTACATGCTTACCATATTTTTCAATGGGAGCTCGAAATGGTGGGCTGAGGCCTAGAGAGGCTACCACTTCCCCTACCTTATTCTCAGTTCTTGGCTATGAAGCGGTACGCCCCTCCCTGAATTCGAAGCCTGTAAGAGGCTATTCACCGTTTTTAGTTCTTGGCTGTGAAGCGGCACGCCCCTCCCTGAAGCATAGTAGAGGCTACTCACCTTAGTTCTTGGCTATGAAGCGGCAGGCGCCCTCCCTGGCCCCGGGCTCCCGGATGCAGTCCTCCCCGTCGTTACAGTCGGACCGCCGTCCGCAGGTCCTTCCGCACGCGCCTCGCGACTCCCCGTCCCGGCGGGCACATCGCTCGTTCTGCGCGCAGTCAGAGTTCACGTTACACTGGAAAAACACGGGATAAAATTTGATAATAGTAGGTAAGATTTTCAAAACAACTGCATAACGGTTACCTTCAAATTATCCAGCCGAACCAAAGCCTAGCTTGGACCTAGCCTGGGTTCGGGAGTTAGCGGATCTTGGGGAGCGGACTATAGCTAACAAGGCTGGACTCCAGGCTAGTTTGGACCAGCCCCTCCAACTGTCCTGCCACTTGCTACATAATGTAACCCAACACCACTAAGTGTCTGCTACAGCACCAGTTACAGCGCTCGCTCTGGGCAATGTTTGATTGACATATTTTACTAAAGGAAATAAGAGAGTATGAAATATGTCTGAAACATAGTTTGTATACAGTGTGCCTTGCTATTTTATACTATATTTTTGAGCCCTACCTTTTTTTGTGCCCTACCTAGGGCACAAAAATACTATTTTTGAGCCCTACCTTAGGGCACAAAAAATACTATTTTTGAGCCCTACCTTAGATAAGATGATGTACTGACAGGCTCCGTAGGTGTCTCCGGGTTCTTTGTGGCATTTCTCGCCGGAGTCGCAGTCGTCCAGGCCGTCACAGCGCACGGCGCAGCCCCCGATCGTGTCCAGCGGGTCGATGGAGCACTTCCCCTGCTGCCCGCACTGGGCGTCCCGCTCGCACGTCTTCGTCTGGAAAGAATTTAAGGATGGCATATCAATAGAACGTCCTTGATCGAACACGTCGAACCCCCTGTTCCATTTCGAACACCTCCGTTCAAGTCAGCGTTCGAAATAGAACAGGGGGTTCCAGTGTTCGACGTGTTCGACTAAAAGCGGTTTCAGTACAGAACGATCTGGATCGAACATATCGAACCCCCGTTCTATTTCGCTAATTTTGACGGGGGGGTTCGAAATCGAACGTTCGATGCGTTCGATAAGGAAGGGTCTATTGAACACTTAATGACCTTTATTGCACATTGAAAGTAACGTAACGGTTGTTATTTCTGAGTCAATCTTATGTCAGTGTGTGGTCAATATAAGCTTAGGTGGTGCAGTTTTACCTGGCACCGCTTGAGGTCGTTGTCGTAGATGAGCTCCTGGCAGGACAGCAGGCCGTCCTCCCTGCCGCCGTCCAGACAGTCCCCGTCGTTTCTGCACTGTAAGGGGAGAGCAGAAGCACAACAGCCACTATCAAACTGTGGATTGACGTAAACAGATCAGATAGTTTCTTTTATTCCTTACCTCTCAGGGCTAGACTTTGAAGTGTTTTTGCTTGTTTGATTGTACTTTTGTACAATCATAAACTTCTTGCATGCCCATCTCTGGACGATAATGATACCGATACCAACGGCGTACATTTTGGTAAGATTGCAGCCCAAAGGCACATGTACCTATGTAGTACTTGGCCATGACATGTCCCTTTACATGATGTACAGATTCAGTTTGCGAATTTCTTCTTTTTTTTAGTGAATCATCCCTTGAGGCCCTGTTCACCCATTTTCTTTGGGCGGGTGACTCCGCACTAGAATGACCTAGAATGTCATGTCAACTCCCAAGAAGTTGATGTCCAGATAAGATCGCCCCGCCTGCCCCCCAGCTTGAGATAAGCCTGTTGCCGGTAGCTCGCACGATATGAGGGCCTGCATGCCCTTTTTCGTAAGGCGTAATCAGGCCGTTTTAGACTTCGTAATTCGTAGGCAGCCTCCGCAAAAATCAACGTAATTCGTAATTGGACATTAGCCGCAAATCGTAAAGTCGTAATCAGCTCTGAGACTTTAACGTAATTCGTAATAGGCGGCGAAAATTTTGCGTAATTCGTAATCACTACCCCTCCCCCCCCCCCATGCAGGCCCTCCGATATGGATGCGTCAGCTGCTCTCGTACCCAGGGGATGGAATTCGAACAGCCCTCTCGTGCATCGTCGTATAAACACGCACACGCGAGTTGTAAACATCCGCGTGGCGCTTTTAGTGGTACTTTTAGTTACAGACCAAGACTGGAATTGTGACTGGTTTATAAGGTGATGTAGACAGGTCTAAACGTGCTCTCCAAGGCATAGGTTTGGATTTTGGCTTATTTTCTGGCGTTTTTTAGGATTTTTATCGAGCTTTCTTTCTTGCACTGGTGTCTTTGGGTTGGCGTAAAAAAAAAGATACCAGTGCAAAAAAGTAAGCCAGATAAAAAAAAGACCAAAACCCAAACCTCTGCTTTGTGAGTAGTCTAAATGTTTAAAGGAAAAAAGAAGTTTATGGAGCAATGCAATACAGTACATGTTATCTATCACATGTTACCAGCATGGAATGGATATTCTAACCACCCAGTATGGCGTAGAGCACCTGCGTCATAGGTCACGTGAGTGCCAATACCTATATATATATATATATAGCACGAGAAGTGGTAAAACTTACGTCATCCCAGTACGCGCGCTTAGACCGACTCACGGCGACGTCCCTGCCAACACGGCCGCTGTTCATGCTTCGGCCCTGAGACTGAAAAATAGAAAAACATATGATGCTTATAACTATATGATGCAAGTGTTGAACGCGGGAGGACTCAGGGTTCCCATGGCAAGAACCTCCAGACTGCAGAATTCATTTCTGCATCACACTATCACACTTTATAACAGTCAAATGCAGAATTAGTTTTCATGTGTTGTACATATTGTCATTGTCGTGAATTTGTATGTTTTGTTTGTACCTACGTTGTATTTTTATGTACTACTATGTAATAGTCAGCACAATTCAGCGGTCATTAAGTTGTTATGTACTGCTGCTATGCTGACCACTGTCTTGAATAAAGAATAAAGAATAAAAAATGATGCTTATATGAAGCACTCGTGTGAATTAGTTTTGACATAATTCTGCATTGCTGTACACATATGTAAAACCCGTCGAAATCCCTGCTACTTTCTATTTGTATCCTTTTAATCAGCCTTTATGAAAAGGAAGGACTCCCGCAATTTTCTGTGCGGTGGGCCGTCGGGAAAACATCTCTGTTGTGACCTCTAATGTTGACGTTTGACCTTGGGGGCGCCAAGATCACAGAAGGAAATATCCGCCATGCCTTACCACATGTGACAGGGTCGGCTTTTCCCAGGGTAGTTATTAGAAACAGCCGGTGGCTACTACATTAGAAACAGCCGTCATAACTCCAGGCGTGAGGAAATTATACGGTTGGTTTGTAGTTTCAAGCCCCAAGAGTACAAGAGTCCGTTCCTTATCGAACACGTCGAACAACCTGTTCTATTTCGAACATTTTATGGTGTTCGGTCGATCGTTCTTGATCGAACACGTCGAACACCCCTATTCTATTTCGAACATTTTATGGTGTTCGATCGACCGTTCCTGATCGAACACGTCGAATTTCTTGTTCTATTTCGAACATCATAAGTTATGGTGTTCGATCGACTATTCCTGATCGAGCATGTCGAACGGTCGGCCGTTACTGATCGAACACGTCGAACTCTCTTAATGTTCGAAATAGAACGGGGGGCGGGGCTTGTGGTGTTCGATCGGGAACGGTCTATATTATGTCTCAGGTTACGAGGAAACGTTTACATACATACATACATACACACATACATACATACATACAAACGTCACCAAAACACAAAGTTTTGGCTAAGGTACAAAGGCAACAATACAGTGCCATGTTGAAAGTTATGTACCGTTGACTTTCAGCCAAGGAATGTTGTTAGTCTTGGCAAGACCACTTATCCAGTGATATATCTTCTGTCATCAGTGACAGGTGGCCGAACATGAACTTCACCCTTGAGTCAGAACAGACGCCAAACATTTCACTTGGGACTATCTTGTTGTGCGTGGAAAAGTATTCAGTTTCTTAGGAAGTGCCAAAAGTCGCCGTGAACTTGAAACCACTTTCGAAATGTCAAGTCGCCCTTGAAATGGGTAAACAACATTTCAAAAGAACATTCAGGAATACTCTGAGAAATTGTTCCTTATGCCACGCTTTTCACAGTTTATAAAAACAAATCTTTCTTTTCATTTCTTTGAATTTCTCGATGTGCCTAGAGTTTACCATATTGTAAACCACCTTGCATGAGCTATTCAAAACTACGTATAATGCATTTAGAGGAAGTAGCTAAGAACACGGGCTACAGCATGGGCTATTTAATAAAACTACGTATATATCTGGAGAAAGTAGCTAAAAGCACGGCCTTATTCGTCGTATGATCGTCGCACGCCTACAACCTAAGGGCGTCCTTTGGATAGTTGTACTGTACTACATGTGTTGTACGAAATTTAGAAAATGTTGTCATATAAAAAGACAGCTAAAGATTATGTTTGTCATTTTTGTTCTGCCACAACCAGCTTCAAAATATTACGACATCGAAATCATACAACGACCTATACGCTACGATTGTGACCGCGTCCTAACATCGTCGATGCTATTGATGCCAAGTAAGACTCAGAAAGCTCCCAGTACTACAGTACTAACCCTGCCACTGAAAGTAACTACCGCAGCAGATGTTGTTTGTCATTTTGTGCAATTAAAGACCTAACCAGGCTCGGCGCCAGCTGTGCTGATGAACTGAGGATCGCCAAAAAAGGACTGACGGAATGGAGGGAAATAAAAACCCAGGGTTAGAAGTTCTAGAAGAGATACAGGTTCAAGAAACGATAGTAAGCTTATGGGGAACCTTCCGAAACTTGTTTTACTATAAGCAGACATTTAAGTCGTATATAAACTGGGTAAATTATTAAAGGTTGACCGACAGCCATATTGTTTACCTTTTACGGCAATACATATTCTATATTGTCAAGAATCAACACACACAGTCAAAAAAAAACGATAATAAAAAGTATGGGTATGAAACTTGAGTGCTTTGTAATTGAAAGGGTTGGGCCGAAGCTTTCAACACTACCAAAACGAACCTCCCCTAAGGGTTGCTGGTCTTGCTTGAAAGACAAACACATGTCAAGTAACAAGAGCACGACTTGAGGGTACATGTAGAACTGTTTACATTTCTACAACTTTGTCAGATGACCACATTGAAACACTTTTTTGTTGTTCAGAAGGCCTATTACAAGACGTAGAAATACCACAAGAATTTTGCAAAACTAAGCCATGAAACGCAATGCCAAATAAAAATACTGTATAACCTCTGTGAGAAGCACGGGCCTTAAAAGGACTGAAGGAAATTGGAGTGAAATAAAAACCCAGGGCACGAGGAGAGACACGGGGGCGACGTCTTATCGGCTTTGACTGGGGGCGAGAAGTGACTGGAGGTTGGGTGTCGGGGATTCGTGACTGCTTATTTTTGTAGCTATATGAGAGAAGGAGAGTCATAGAGACAAAGGTAGTCAGCCAGACAAAGAGAGACAGAGAGAAAAACACAGCTACACAGACTGACTGAGAGAAAGGAAGGAGACAGAGTCAGAGAGAGACAGAGAGAGACAATTGTGTTTCTTGAAGCCAATCATCGGAGAGAGAAGTAGAGAGGGGGATCGCTTAAGAAGGGTGTAGCTCAAGGATGTTATGCAACAACTATTAAACAACAATACACAATAAGACTAACAATAATAAACAACACTAGTACTACACAACAAAACTAACCTACCCTACCAAATACCTTCGATGACAGCATGGGATTTATCTTTATGTATGAATGATGACTTTGTCTCACTTTTGGAATGAAACCAAAGAATTGACCCATGTGGGCAAACGTAGACAAAATAGCAGTGCGTGGAAAATTTTCGGTTGTGTGCTAGGTATGTTTAGAGTCTTGGTGGTATTAATCTCTCTCTCTCTCTCTCTCTCTCTCTCTCTCGGTGTGTGTGTGTGTGTGTGTGTCTCCCTCCTACTCTCTCTACTAGGACTTAACATTCATAACAACACAACATTTGTCACCAGTATTTTCCTAATATGTGGGACACAGTCTCTGAGTGGCTGGGAAACGTAACATGGAAGAATGTAAACGATAAACAGCAGACCACGCGCCAGAACACAACAGTGCCTACAGGTATATATGGGGTGTGAACGATGTAACACGGTTGGGACCAAATCGCTTAGCCTCCGTGGCAGGCTTATAGAACTGGGGGTTTGGTGGTCTTCGGCTGGTTTCTGATTAGCCTCCGTAGCAGGCTTATAGAACTGGGGGTTTGGTGGTCTTCGGCTGTTTTCTGATTAGCCTCCGTAGCAGGCTTATAGAACTGGGGGTTTGGTGGTCTTCGGTTGTTTTCTGATTAGCCCAGTTCTAAACGGGGGCAATTCAACCAGGCCGGCTATGTTGTCTATATGGAATCAGAAAATAGCACATAAAAGCTCCCAAAGACCCTGAAGACCCCCAAATCCCCAGTTTTTGGCATGCTATGGAGGCTACAAATCGCTGTACCTAACAGGAAAAACGTGTTTTATCCCTCAGTTTAGGCCTCTTATCTGTAAAGAACTTCTTGTCTTGTAGTTTCCGATGTGAATTATCAGATTTTCGCCCCACTATCAGCTGACTGTTGTAAATATTGAGTAGCCTCTACCAGGCTTCGGGAGGCGGCTGGAAAGATAGACATTGGTCAAATAGAGAGTAACATGCTAGGGGTCCGCTAGAGAGTAACTAGTTTGCCAGGCCAACTCCCCCGGCATATTATCTCTCTATTTGGTCTTTCCGGCCGGTCGCCTCCCGAAGCATTGTAGAGGCTAAATATTGAGATCAGGAAAAAACCCGCCCCCCCCCAAAAAAAAACGCCCCCTCCCATGGCTTCTCCACCTGTCGTGTCCTGTTGTGTTCTACCGCAAGGCCTCACGGGAGACACAAAAGGACATCTGAGCAGCAGGTGTGTTGGTCAGCACAGCCGGCTGTTTGCTCCGCTCAAAGAGGCTCTGATTTAGTCAGCAAATACTGATACTGACTAACCCGGGCAGACAAAAAGTAGGGCAATATGATAAGGAAGCCGAGGCGTGGCTACTGATTTATCAAAACCCTTTGTTGGATGACCTTGGAAAAAATCTCCGTGGCTCAATTAGCGATTTGGTATCGGAGGTTACTCTCCAAGCAGAGGTTGATGGTGGAAGATCGTTTTCCTTTTTTGGGTGGGGAAATGTTTACAGACTAGCCAATTTGATATACCTTCTTACCCCCACCAAAAGATCTGCTTGAAGATTATCGGAGTTACGTCTGGTACGTGTAAGTTGTCGCCAGGGTGCAAGCTGTGTTGTTTTCCTAGAGAAAACATGGCCCAGTTTTGCGATGGTATTTCAGCCATCATAAAAAAAAGCTACCACAGAGGGAAGACAATATATATATATAACATTACTATAGCCAGATAGAGCTGTACCTAAAACATTTCTCTTCTTAAAGGTGTGCTGCATTCATCCAGTACAGCCATAGGATTACTAGTAGTTTAGGTGCAAACTGTGTTGTTTTCCTAGAGAAAACATGGCCCAGATTTGCAAGGGTATTTCGGCCATTTTGTGCGGTAAAAAAACAATTTTCGAGACAAGGAACGGCAGAGGGAAAACAATATATAGCTAGAGCTGTACCTGAAAAGTATTTCTCTTCTAAAAAAAGGTATATATATGGTGCATTCATCCAATGTAGCTATAGGATTACTAGTAGTTTAGATTCTTAACTGCATTCTTTACTGCACTTAGCTAATAACGTTTTAAAACCCAAACACTTATGACAGAAAGAAAACACTTGTGGTTGATCACTTCGGTATAACCAAAAGCCCCTGATATGAAAACCACGACCGTTTCCAAGGCAGCTGTATAGTTTTCACAGACCCGTGTTCTGAAGTAGACAGTTTGAGCGCCTTTGAGCGCCAATGCACAGTTTGAGCGCCAATGCACATGCGGATTGACTTTTTGTAGTTCGGTGCCTCTGGGGGCGACACCCAGTAATGTTCCTCATTCTAAATTTTGCTTTTATCTGTTTTGTCATTTTAACGATTTTAGATATTTTAAGCGAATTAATAATGATCTGCCAATTTGTACACGAGTCTGTAAATTCAGCCTGTTGGCTGCCGTGTGACTTGTCTTTGATTTTAATAATAAACCAGTCTACTTTCGTCCAGGTCTCAATTTCTCTGTAAACCCAGCCTGACCGGATTCCTTTGCTCTTTGATCTCAAACCAAGCGATTTTCCGGCTTGTCGACCGCATTTAGTCCTGCTCTGGGGCGTGTAAAATCCACCTGTACTTTATGTATGCTATGGACACTGAACGAACCAATGCACCACAACACTTGCCTCTACCAGGCTTCAGAAGCGGCTGGAAAGAGTAGAAATTGGCCAAATAGACAGATAACATGCCAGGGGAGTTGGTCCACTCAAACTGTACTTGCTTAGCGGACCAACTCTCCTGGCATGTTATCTGTCTATAGGCTTATTTCTGCTCCTTCCAGCCACTACTAAGGCCTGGTAGAGGCTACCAAAACACATCTATTTGTGATATCAAATGTTCCCTCTCTCTCCCTCAACAACTTAAGTTGAGTAAAAGCCAGAACAGTCGGTGTGATAAATTAAGCAGCATGCTATCGATAAACTTATATAAAGTCTAATTGATAAAGACAAGTAGCGTCGTTGGGAATTTTTGACACCGGAATTTTTGCTCTAATTTTTGTTTCCCCTTTTGTTTGCCCTTACTGTAACTTATCATATTTTAACCGTACAGTCAGGATCTGTATACAGCTGTTGAATGTAAGTGTCTGCTGACATGTTTTACTATAAACAGACATTCAAGTCGTGTATACATTGGATCAAGGATGACCGACGGCCATAAATTGTTCAACTTCTAACTCTTCTGGCAATACATATTATATAGTTCACAATCTAACACACATGCAGTTCATATAGTTCACAATCTAGCACACACACTGGAGGTCCCGTGTTTGAGGAGAGCCACACCTCGAGCACGTTAAAGATCCCACCACACCTTTCGAAAAAATAGGGGCATGCCCCGGTGTGCGCTGGTCCAAATTTCTACAGCCCAAATACTACAGTGTAGCAGAATCATCAGCAAGTTGATGTTGGCTACCTTAACCCCAAAGACAAAGACATGCAGTAAAATACCACAGAAAACGTACGGGGAAAGCTGCCGAAACTTGAGTGGTTTGTAATTGAAAGGGTTCGGCCGAAGCTTTCAACACTACCAAAACGAACCTCCCCTAAGGGTTGCAGGTCTTGCTTGAAAGACAAACACATGTCAAGTAACAAGAGCACGACTTGAGGGTACATGTAGGACTGTTTAGACTTCTACACATTTGTCAGATGGCTACATTCAAACAAGTTCAGATACTCATAAATGCCATGCCACCAAAATGGGATTTGTACGTGTGCAAAATCAAGTTAAGTCATGCGCTAGAACTTACGATCATTTCTGTAAATAGAAACACTATAATGCCCATCTTATCTAAGTCAGGATTTTAATCATGAGGCGTATGCAGTGCTTTGGGCGATACGAGTCCTTAAACCCTTGTAACATAAGAACATATACGGGGAAGGCATTCTACATTGGAAAAACACCGCTAAGAGTCGAAGGAAGAATGAGAAGTTTATTGCAAATTCATGCCCGGGGGGCTAATTGCAGACAAACATAAAAGAACAATGAAACGTAGTATAAAATAACTAAAATCTACATGATGAAAGGTAGTTGTCTAGAGCTATAGCTATGTCTAAAACTATGTCTAAGGGGTTTGACTTCTCTTTTTTAGACTATGGAAGACGTAATGTCCCACCTTTTCTAAAATTAGTGGGTTTTGGGAAGTTAAAAGAAGAATAGTTTTTTCTTGGTCTGTAAGTTTAGTAAAATTGGGATAAATTGTAGAAGTTTGAATAGTTAACTCATTTCGAGCGTTGCTATGAAAGGAACAATTTGAGATAAAGTGTATTTCGTCTTCCACAGCCTTTGCATTACAATATTTACAAATTCTTTCACATACAGGTAGCCTTCTATACCGGCCTCTCTCTATCTCCAAAGGATGGGCGCTAACTCTAATTTTGCTAATGGCTGAGCGCAGTTCGAAGTCTGCAAGATTAAGATATCGCTCTGTGTTGTACATAGTTTTACATTTTGCATAAAATCTTAACTTACCACTATCAGTTGACATAGTATGAAAAAATGTTTGTATATGCATATCTGTAAGCCTCCTTCTCAGCATTTTCACAACATGTTCAGGATCATAATGTGAGTTTTCGGAATACCACAGAAAGGAGTATCCATTGTGATCTAATATGTCTTTAACACGTTGAAGTAAAGTTCAGAAGAATAACAGAGCTACTAACTATCTAAACGATTTTGTAAAACTGAACCATGATATGCGATACTAAGCTAAAATATCACTTCTATATAAGGAATCGCAGACGATTTTTTTGTTCCGACTCACCCATGTTCTCGTGAGGTCGATTCCCTCCACAGCTAAGACGGCCAGGGTCACGCAAACTACCGACAGGGCTGTACCGTATCCTCCCATCTTCGCCGCTCTGTCGTTTCACGGTTCCTTTCCACAGGCACACAGGCTTGACTGCAACGGAGAAATATGTCGTTCACGGGAATCGAACCCGGGACCCCCTCGATCGCTTGACGTTGGAGGCTTTAGGAGTGCTAGCGGTGGTGGATTGGAAACATATGTTGTGTGTCGGCCGCCTGTTCACCTACTGTTTGACTAGGCAGCGCGGGACAGGCGTTCTTTGCATTCCAAGGGGCCGACTAGGAGGATATATAAAGCAGTGTCAAATATTAACCCTAACCCCACACACCTTTACAATCTAGGGCGCTAAGACAATGCTATACCCACACTAACAACAGTTTGGCTAAACGCCATTGTTTAAAGTTAGTTGCCGTGTTTTGTTAGGAAATGTTGTGTTTGTGAGGCAAACGTAAAACGCGGTGTAAAAACATGAGAAGTGCGAGACCCACATGTAAGACCACAAACCGCGAATTAAAGAATGTCTCACTTTGCGGCGACATATTTTCTTAGGACTGGGTCTTAAATTTTGTGTTTGTGGTAGGTTTTGTTTAACATCAAGGCTTTGTGACATCCTTTAAATAATATTTTTGTGACAAGGTATCTTGGGAGGGGGGGGGGGATTAAAGAACATTCCACACTGGGCGGGAACAAGTTTTCTGTCAGGTTCACACTGTGTCGTCTGCAAATGGACGATTCCATTATTCCAACATGGGGCAAATATAAACAAACCTGATACAAGATATAATCTGTACATGTGCTACTGATGCAGCTTTGGTTACTTCCAAATTATTACTACAGTTCAATTGCATTTATCAAAGAGTGAGAAAAGACCGTGGTATTATTAAATCAGATATCAATTTTGTATTCTTAAAACTTTACGACATTGGTATAACCCGCAAGGGAACATTCCTTGAAAGAAGGCAGCCGAACAAAGCATGCGATCCGTTACATTCTGCTGCGGTCAACTGGAACTGATACAAGTTGACAAAGGGCCACCTTAATACCAGTACGGCGTCTTAACTTTCTGTCAAGTCCTAATTGAACTTCTCGAAAATGTTTAAGCAGTTTTGTGTCCAAAAATTAAGACAGAAAATATCATGAATACCCTACCGAAATATTGCTGTCATGACAACGGGTCAGAACTGTTTATTCTTCCTTCTTTCTGTGTACCTAGGAAACAAATTCCTTACTTAAATACCTGTAAATTTAAAGAAATTGGGGAATAGTTTTTTAAGCCTGCCGAACAACAAAGACAAGAACTAGTTGATATTTCATATTATTCATTTGGAAACTTGTAACGTTTTGTTCATATCTGGTTAGGCGAAATATTTTGACATATGGAATTAAGTAAACATCCTTGTTTATTTGTCCTAAGTAAACCCCGTGTCTGCATCGGTAAACAAAAATAAACAGATGTCTCCGTATGGGCACGTCACACAGAACACACACAGGACCGAGACCGAGAATTTATAGATGATATTTTTAATTTGTGGTTTTATATCAAAAGACACTATCGTAGAGTGGAACTCCAAGCACAGTTGAGGTTACTCCAATTGTGCTTGGTGACATGGAGTTCCACTCTACGATAGTTTTTTTGTCACCAAGTGTCCTTGTGTCCTTGTCACCAAGCACAGTTGGGGTAACCTCAACTGTGCTTGGTGACAAGGAGTTCCAGTCTACGATAGTGTCTTTGTCACCAAGTGTCCTTGTGTCCTACGATAGTGTCTTTGTCACCAAGTGTCCTAGTGTCCTTGTCACCAAGCACAGTTGGGGTAACCTTAACTGTGCTTGGTGACAAGGAGTTCCACTCTACGATAGTGTCTTTTGATACCGGTATGCAATTAAATGTGCAAAGATTGAATGTGACAGGCCGTTCGGTGTCATATAGCTGGCTGCCGCCGCGCCGCGTGCCTGTGCAGCTGGTGTGTTACGCCGAAGGGCGGTTATACTGGCTGTACAGATACAGAATCTGGTGTGTTACACCGAAGGGCTGTTATACCGGCTGTACAGATACAGAAGCTGGTGTGTTACACCGAAGGGCGGTTATACCGGCTATACAGATACAGATACGTTTAGGACATGTGCTAGCACTAGAGTCGAGTAGCTGGCTCGTGTTGGCTATGAAGACAACAGTCTGGATACAGTCTGATTCTAGCCAAATGATCACTCCAACGATACGTTTCATGGCAGCGACGCCTCTATCGGCATTGTGCGGTACTGCAGCTAAGAGCCAAGACAAAAGCGCCACCAGGCTGGTCATTGGGAACTGCATTTATGGTGGTGGTGGTGGTGAAAAGGCTTTCCTATTAAAAGTCATATGGGCGTCAGCCGCGCCACTAGCTACGAAAGGAGAACAGACATTTGCATTTTGTAAACAGTCATCTAATAGTGTTGGTCAATAATAGCACACAATCATAGCTTTAATGGGATAATTATACGCCCCCTGTTTTGGGTGGTACCGGGAATTGTACTACTGTACATGTATATGACCTTATATGGGCTACAAAACCAGTACTTCTTGTCTTCGAAACTTTGACTCATGCACTCTTTTTTCACACTGAATTAAACATCATTTGTGGTTGAATGTAACAGGTGTGTGTAACCGCAAAGTCGTGCCACAGTTACCTGATTGTAGTAAATATTCGTTAACCTCTACCAGGCTTCAGAAGCGGTTTAAACGAGTAGGAACTGGACACATAGACGGATAACATGCCAGGGGAGTTAGTCCGCTAAAGGATTACACACTATTGCACCTCTGAGATAGCCTCTACCAGGCTTTGGGAGGCGGCCCGGGTTCGGCAAACTGCACTCTCTAGCGGACCAACTCCCCTGGCATGTTATCTCTCTATTTGGCCAATTTCTACTCTTTCCAGCCGCCCCCGAAGCCTGGTAGAGGCTATCTCTGAAGAACATTGCCGTACTGAGCGTACTCCTTTAGCGGACCAACTCCGCTAATATGTTATCTGTCTATATGGCCAATGGCCAGTCTTTCCAGTCGCTTCTGAAACCTGGTAGATACTAGATCGTTCCTTGACGTGAGTTAATACTTCTCGATAAATGCGACAACCCCAATGTCTTGCCACAGTTTCCTGTCGCAAATCTGTAGCAAATCTTACTTGACGTGATGTACTATCTCTCACGTTATCTGCCTTGCCATATAAGTACAGATAACACGTGCTCTCTGAAAAACATTGCCTTACTGAGCGTACTTCTTTAGCGGACTAAATCCCCTGATATGTTACCTGTCTCTTTGGTCAATTTCTACTATTTCAAGTCGCTTCTGAAGCCTGGTAGAGGCTATATCGTTCATTGACGTGAGTTAATACCTCTCAGATAAATGCGACAACCCCAATGTCTTGCCACAGTTTCCTGTTGCAAATCTGTAGCAAATCTCACTTGACGTGATGTACTATCTTTTAGGTTATCTCTCTAACCATATAAGTACAGACATCTCGTGTTCATCCTTGCGCACATCCTTCAGGTCATCACGTGACCAACTGGTTGTACCGCCCCTCCCTCCCTGTGGCATTTCAATCCTACGTCATTTCCGTTTCCGGGGAGAGTTTAAATACCAGGCGTACATACGCAAGTCCTCCACAGTGTGTATACGAGTCTGTTCGGAAGACAGTCGAGTATTTTTTCCCGTGTTCAGCGTAGACTGTAGGACAGAGACTTAAACCATGCGGGCGTCGACGGCAATGTTCCTTAGTGTACTGAGCGTTTTCTGCGTCCTGGCAGTGGTGAGATCTTCAATCGTGAGATCAGCCGTAAGTCCTGCTTTAAATACTTCTCCAGCTTTTAAGTTAGGGGCTATGTTTTTCTAACAGGCTACACGATATATATACCTCTATTGTAAAGTATTTAGTGTTCAATATTCAGGTCTATCATTAGGTATTGAAGTTTAAGAATGTGGCCGACCCTGCGTCTTTTCAGGGATAACATGTCGCCTGACCTGTTGTATTGTATGTATGCCCTAAAGCGACAACATGTCCTACACCCCTTGGCCCCCTATAATCTTACATAAATACACGCTACAGAGACTGTATTTAAACCGTAAACGCTGGCTTATTTCTTACAAGAATGTGGAAAGACGGGTCTAAGAGCAATTTTAGGTGCGTAGCAGTTTCGGAAATGTGCCAGAGTAAAGATCAGTAAAGTCTTAAGTAGTTGTTGGAAGAAGGTTGCCCCAGACTTCTGTCGCACCCCCAGTCTAATGAGAACACGATGTGGTTTCCGTCCCTTCCGTGCTAAGCCTCATGTTGTGTGACTGGTTGTTAAGTGGTCTGGAGGTCGACTTAAGAACGGGCTCAGCAAACTCTTATCATTGTTTGTTGGCAAAGACCGACTGTTTGCCGACTCTCTTGTACGCAGTAGATAAGTCTTTCATGTAACATCGTTGTTTATTGACAAAACAGATAGTAATTTTACTCTCCAAGCAGAGGTTTTAGGCTTTAATATTTTGACGTGTTTTTAGGCGTTTTTATAGGGCATTCTTTTTTTTGTACTGGTACCTTTTTTTTCGGGTAGCCTATTGGATACTGCCCTGCCAATGATACTGTCTTGCCAATATTTCATACTATCTTGCAGCCACTAAAATATCTACTTGGAAATTAGGTTTAAGAAAGGGCTCATGATCAGCAAAGTCTTAAGTATGTTTGTTGGCAAAGACCGTCTGTTTGACTATTCTCTTGTACACCGTAGATAAGCCATTCATGTACATCGTTGTTTATTGACAAAACAGATAGTAATTTTACTCTCCAAGCAGAGGTTTTAGGCTTCAATATTTTGACGTGTTTTATACTGTAGGCGTTTTTGTAGGGCATTCTGTTTTTGTGTGTGCTGGTATCTTTTTTTCAGGTGGCCTATTGGATACTGCTAGCCAAGGATACTGTCTTGCCAATATTGACACTATCTTGCAGCCACATTAAAATATCTGCTTGGAATTTTAGTTTAAGAAAGGGCTCATAAAGAGCTAAACCGTACGTCTGTTTGTTGGCAAAGTCTGACTGTTTGTGGAGTCTCTTATATAGAGAAGTATATAAGCCATTCATGTACATCGTTGTTTGTTGACAAAACAGCTGATCGCAATCATTGGCTTTGTCGGTGAAGGTTAGACATCCAGGTAAATAGACCAAGCAACTGTGTAAATTCTCTGATTGACTTCATTTAGTAGTCATTATTAAGATATTTCTTTCAAGCTTTAGATTCAGTGGACACTGATGGAAACAAACTTAAGGTAAACGTAACGTACTTAAGAGCGTTGTAGATCTTTTTAACCCAACATCTGCTTTGAGATAAGAGTCTAACGTTAAAAAGACATGTTACATGTGTAAGGGACTTTACGACTTGTTGTAAAATCTAATCTCCAAGCAGATCCCTATCGGTGGCAAAAAGACAGTATTAAATTGGCAAGACAGTCTCCATTAGCCAGAGAAGGTCGCCGGCCACCGACGGGGTGGGTACCGACAAAAAAGGGGGCATATATAAACGATCATTCCCTCACAACCTCTGCTTGGAGAGTAGTTAAACCACCTCACTTCTCATGCTGACAATGTCCAGACGTCGGTGTTCTCGTGAAATATCCCCCTATAGACACCTAGTGGTGATTAACTACAGCCCCACATGGTGCTAATTAAGACACTAATGATGTTTACGTAAGTAATTAATTAACATGTAGCTTTCACGCTAATTACATAAACTCAGGGGATTAAATACTACTTCTGTGTTTAAAAACAAAACATTGCATGGATAAAAATCGTCCAGAACAGTTTTTGCTGTAAAGTTAGAATGCGACTTATTGTACGACTTTTAGTATGTGTGACACATAGTCGTTACTCCAAGCTGAGTATACATATTTTAGATTATACTTCTTAAGAAAGTACATTTAAGAGTTATATACATACATGCACTAGGTATCTACTTGTCTAAAAGGTCGTATCCTAAAACCTTGTTTGTAAAAAAGCGAACTTCCAGTATACGGATTGGATATTATTAGGATCTCTCTTTCAAAGCAAGTCATTACGTTCCCCAACTTTCCCACGGAAATTTAATTTGTTAAGGTTGAACTATCAAAGGAACTTTGCGGTTTCAAATTAAAAGAAGAGAAAAGACGAAATCAAGACGTGTTTGAAATCAAACGGCCGACTTTACGGTCTTTGCGTGTAAAGAAAGGAAGAGAAACATATTCAGGAAGAAACCATGTCTGATTTCTGTATACGGGAAACCGCGGTTTCCTAACATCTGGGTTGTGATTGATGTGAGTCAAGTGATGCATTGACCTCATTAAGTCCTCTTCAAGCAGATGTGAGGCTTGTTTTGGACATTTATAGGCTTTTTGTTGGGCTTTCTATTTTGTCAGCTTACCTTTGTGTATACAAGCTTAACTGGCAAAAAAGGAAGCACAACAAAACGCGTAAAACGCATAAAAGTGCCCAAAACAAGCCTGATCTGTGCTTGGAGAATAGTATTAAGGGATTTTCCACACTTCTCTCTAATCCTTCCCCCAGGCTCTCGGTTTGATCGCACGAGATAGCGGTTCTTCTTAAAGACAGCCGGTATTTCCTACCGACCACGGGCCCTGCTAGCCTGCATATTTAGTCTAAACTCCATCACAAAGTCCAGGTTTCAGATTTAAATCCTTTAGAGAGCCCGAAGGTTTGAGTTAAACTAGGTATTCCCTACCTACTACAGGCCCTACAGTACTAGCCTTGATATACAGCCTCTATGTAGGACATATAGGATTGATCTTCTTTAGAAAGTCCCCGTACGATGATAACATGTTAGTTTCCAGATTGTGATCCGTGAGAGAGCCCTGGAGCTGGACCCTGTTCCATTTTTTTTTGGTATGGCATCTTTCTACATGTAGAAAAGTTCCATATATGATATGTGACAGTCAAAACTTTAGTCAGTCGAACTTAATTGCACAACCATTGTATCAGGTACAACGTATGACAAATTCTTGAGCAGTAGAAAATAACAAAGCTAATATCTACACCATTGCCTATAACAATACTATCAAATGAGTTATATATCTGAATGCTTGTTTATATTGGCGATATATTATATATGGAACATGGCCATGTATACGTAGAAGGGACGCCAGTTTACTAGAAGTGTGTACTTTTCACAGCCGACGTTGTCTAGCCTCTACCAGGCTTCGGGAGGCGGCTGGAAAGAGTAGAAACCGGTCAAATAGAGAGATAACATGCCAGGGGAGTTTTTCTGCTGGGAGAGAACATTTCGCTGCTCTCTCAACGGACAAACTCCCCTGGCATGCTGTCTCTCTATTTGGCCGATTTCTACTTTTTCCAGCCGCCTCCCCAAGCCTGGTAGAGGCTAGAAGGGAGACCAGTTTACTAGAAGTGTGTACATTTCACAGCCGACGTTGTCCACACATGGGGTAATGTTTCCCCGCGGAGGTTTAGTCAACAAAAGAGCAGCGTGTTTGAACACAAACATCAACAACATACCGACATGTCTGAACCGCAGCCTCCATAGCATGCCAAAAACTGGGGGGGTTGGGGGGGGGGTCTTTTATGTGCTATTTTCTTATTTTTTTTTATATTCCAACATGTAATCACAAGACGTTTTTATATTAATGCCGACACCAACACAGGGGGCAATACAATACTCATTTTTCACCTGAGCGAAGTGAGAAAAGTCGTGTAAAGTGCCTTTCCCAAGGGCACAAGGTCGGTGGCATGTCAGGACTCGAACCCAGACCTCTTGGTTCCGAGTCGAGCACGCTGCCGCTACGCCATACGACCCCATTTTCTGATTGCATAGAGACATATAGCCGGGTTGAATTACCCCCGTTTAGAACTGGGCTAATCAGATCATCAGAAAACAGCCGAAGACCACCAAACCCCCAGTTCTATAAGCCTGCTACGGAGGCTAATCAGAAAACAGCCGAAGACCACCAAACCCCCAGTTCTATAAGCCTGCCGTATGGAGGCTATATATCTGAACTGTGTTGACAGGAAAGACAGGAAACCGTCGGCTGCGGTCAGACCGCATGCCTTTCCGTGACGTCACGGTCCGGAAGTGACGTATAGTCGTGACGTAGTAGGATTCATGGTTGGGAGCACAAGTATCAGTGCGTTGGTTGAGAAATTAATTAACAAATGCTGCACCCCTACCCACTCTTTAAGTGAGTAATAGTTTACCAATAACTATATTTGGTGACTGCGTATTCGGTGCCCTCGTTAAAATCTAGTCGGACCACTTGCTATTTCGTTGAAGACACGCTATTGTTGTGGTTTGCCCTATTAGGCCACAGTACGTAAATTTTATGGATGACGTCCTACGCAGACTTCAAATTTAATGCAAGCGGGCGAAACAAAAACAAGACGGGCCGAAAAAACAAGGTTCCTACATTTTAAGATTTTAACAATCATTGTACAAATGGTTTTGATTCAGTGGGAACATCACATATACACAGCCAGCATCACATATCACTGCATCAAAAACATTAAATCAGAGTTTTTTCATGTCTCCACTCTTCATAGTTATCTGCCATCCACTTTCCGGTACGGCATAAAAATTACTTGCTATGGCCTTAGCCTCACCTCAAATTAAAATTTTAATTGCAGTTGATCTTACAAAGTTCGTAGTACATTTTGTTTCGTCGATGAGGCTTTTTGTCAATATATATCCTACCGCAAATGAGCCTGTAAGTCTAGAGGAAGGTGTTGTTGGATTTCCAAGAATTTAGCAGTGAACACATAATAAGACAAATTTTGTAGAATTAGACTTGTGTTTGTAGTATGTTCTTCTACTTCTTAAATTTATTAACTATCAACATCCTCCTTTCCCTTATGTACTCCTTTGAAAGCTACGAACTAGCTAGGGCAGGGCATGTTCAAAGACGTGTAACGTAAAAACCTAATATACCACTAGAGGTGACACGCAATTAAACATGTTTTCAGCTTGCCCTGAGTGATCAGCCAACTTTTAAAGACTTCCACTTGCGCTTGTAGCATATTTTTACCTCCGAAAAGTTCATCTGTTGGAAAATAACACCTTCTTCCCACTTGAAGACCCTTGAAAACTCGTTAAAAGCTAAAAAAATAAAACAGGACATGTTAGAAAATGTGTAAAACCTATACCACTAGAGGTGACACGCAATTAAACATGTTTTCAGCGTGCCCTGAGTGATAAGAATTGTGTAGCACTTGAGACGGGCAACACAAACCATATGCGTGACATTTCAACTTTATAGAGCCGTGTGGCCTTGACTTGACATTTTGAATATCAGAAGCAGGTGTCTGCTCAACTTCAAGTCCAACTTTCCTTGGCACGCATGCAAGGCAAATGGTTTGAAGAGGTGACTGACCCAGTGAGACTTTTCGCATGGCTTCTTGGAAATGTGACGTCAACACTGGGTCAAAGGCATTTTGTAGACGATGTCGGCCCCCGTCGCGGTTAAGTGACAAGTCTAACTGGGTCAGTCTACTGAGGAAGACCAGAGTGACTGGTCGAAAGCTGTCTATAAGAGAATTTCTAGTGTTGGATCAAAAGTTTTAACTTTAAATATGTAACTACCAACACAGATGAACTTTCATGATAGTCTAAAAGTTGGCTATGAGATTACTTTGTGAGCAAATGAAATGATTCTTGCATTCATCCATAGACTCACTCACTCACTCACTCACTCAGTCCTCTTGCACGATGTGCGTCGAGCCTACTAGGTGGACCACCTCCTTCCATCTCGATCTGTCCTGGGCGAGCCCCTGCGCTTCTTCGTGGGTGATGTTGACCAGGGCCAGGTCCTTGGCCAGGACGTCCGACCAGCGGGTGCGGGGGGCCCCCCGCGGTCTCTTCCACCCCGCAGACTGGGGGCTGAAGTTCAGGATAGCCTGTGTGGGGTGGTCGGGTGGGAGTCGTAGGACATGACCGTACCAGCGGACTCGGCGCATCGCTGCCACACGGGAAGCAGGAGGCTGCTGGGTCCTTTGCCTGAGCTCGGCATAGAGCATAGTTAATTTAGATTGTACTGTTTGCTATTTTTCTTATTCTAAGACATAAACGACAGGTGGCCATGCTTTATCATGTACACTTTTACCGTACGTTATGTAAATATTAGTTATCTGTATCTGTATCGCCGATATGACCTCCTTTCGGCGTAACACACCAGCTTAGCAGGCACGCGGCGCGGCGGCAGCTGGCTACATTACACCGATCGACTTGTTACACCTAAACCGTGGACATCTATTACTCTAGAGCTATCTAATGACAATGCCCCTACTGTACTTGGTGACAGTGAGTTCCACTCTGCGATAGTTCTAGGAAAGTATGAATTCTTGAACGCCTCAATCCTTGGTTGATAACTCTGGTACTTGAAGGCATGGCTATTTCTTGTTCTCTACTGGGCTGCTATTAGGTACTTAGTAGTTGGGACGTCCACTAGTTTATAATATCTACTTATGTTTGTTTTGTTTTATTTTGTTTGTACGTAGGCTATGAGAGATCTTGCTGTATGGAAAAGTGACGGGAGCCCTCTCGGAGATGCCATTGCGGTAAGAAGAATGAATATGCTTTTTGTAGTTGTAGAAAAAATTGCTTGAAATTTCAGCCTGGATGCTGGACCAATGTCACACTACGTACAAAGTTAGTCAGCGTGAAAGGCCTAACTAAGGGGGCTGTGGTATAATTTGCCTGGGGCATGTAGGCCCTGGAGCCGAGGAGCTGGTCTGTGTAGGCCCTGGAGCCGAGGAGCTGGCCTGTGTAGGCCCTGGAGCCGAGGAACTGGCCTGTGTAGGCCCTGGAGCCGAGGAGCTGGCCTGTGTAGGCCCTGGAGCCGAGGAACTGGCCTGTGTAGGCCCTGGAGCCGAGGAGCTGGCCTGTGTAGGCCCTGGAGCCGAGGAGCTGGCCTGTGTAGGCCCTGGAGCCGAGTAACTGGCCTGTGTAGGCCCTGGAAAGTCTGGCACCCAGGCTACTGAAAATGTAGTATTGATATCTACGTTTGAAATAATGGTTAGCTGTCTGTTGGCGTAAGCTGTCAAATGTAAATAAAACCATAAGAGTAGTCAATTAACATTTAACAGTGACGTTTATCTGCAATTCCTTCTCACAGCGACAGGTGGCAGCACTGAGCAGAGAAAAGAGAGCCGCTGCAGACTGGCCCTTCTGGGACGAGGTAAGGTATAACACAGTGAACAAAATAACAAAGTAGTTGGCCGTGAATTTTTAGAATTATTACCTTCGCCGAGAAGGTTATGTATTCAGGGGCGTTCGTGTATGTATGTATGTATGTGTGTGTGTGTGTGTGTGTGTGTGTGTGTGTGTGTGTGTGTGTGTGTGTGTGTGTGTGTGTGTGTGTGTGTGTGTGTGTGTGTGTGTGTGTGAGCACGATAACTCAAGAACGCCTGGATGGATTGTCTTGATATTTGGTAGGTGGGTAGGTCTTCTTCCTCTTGTCAATGACCTGGACTAGACGTCTATTACCATGGTAACTAGCATTGTAGCAGACACCATGTGGTGTTGGGTTACATTGTGTAGCACGACAGACATGGAGTGGCTGGTCATTATATATCATTTATGTATCTGCTTGAGTAAGAATAAACAGAGCAAAAGTTTGTTGGGCTAGACCAGCTAAACATTTTACATCTTTGCAAATGTTACCTTCCTAGTTATGTTTACCGAAGGAAAACATATTCTTTTTGCTACGTTTCTTCCTCTTCTTCTCCAAACACTGACCTCTGACTTGGCCAATGACCTGATTTGTTGACGTCTGTCACCATGGTAACTGGTGTTGGGTTACATCATGTTGCAATTTTATAGCTGTATGAGGGATTTAGACTCCTGTCTGACCATATATATGAATGTGTTTTAGTGATAATTAACAGTGCAGACCATATGCGAAGGTAAAAATTATGCATTTTTGCAGATGTACGACCTGTATGGCCACAAGGCCGCGATAACTGCCCTATAGTCGTCACTATATTGTTATATATCCTAATATGTTATAGTATGTTGTCAGTTAAATTGTCTATTTTTTTATCATTACTGTTTTATTATGTATTTTGTATGTGGAGAGACAACTGGCAGAGGTGCAAATATGCGCCTGTTTTGTCTCTCCTCCATGCTACTTGATGTTGCATTGGAAAGTCTAATAAATAAATAAATAAATTTGCTTTGCAAATGTTAACTGTCTAGTTTAATTTGTAATGCTATGTTGCTCCAGTGCTCCTCCACCAGCGACTGTACCAATGATGGGAAACCGTACTACGAATGCGTGGAGATCGGCTGGTCCAATCCGAAGAAGAAGAGATGCCTGGTACGTTCCATAGGCTATGGATTCATTAGTATTTAATCTCCTGCCTCTATGTGTATTTTATTACTACCTTTGCATTTATATTCCTGTGATGATCTTTATAGGCCTCATGACATCAATGAAAAGCGGCCGATTTTATATTAGGTTCTCACGAATGAAGAAAAGTTTCTAATGAATAGGCATGGACAATGGCTATCATTATGGCTAGTTGATTAAGACTTAATTAGAGCAAATATTATGAAAGCTTATCTGTGTTGGTAGTTACATGTTTAAAGTTAAAACATTTCATCCAACACAAAGAAATCTCTCACCTAGAGCTTTCGACCAGTCACTCTGGTCTTCCTCAGTAGACTGGTCTAAAGCTCTAGGTGAGAGATTTGTTTGTGTTGGATCAAAAGTTTTAACTTTAAACATACAGCAAATATATATTGATTTAGTATCAATTGGCAGGGTTTTGTCGAAAATCTAGCATGCTACTCTATTAAACGGTTTAAGAAATGATTTCATCTTAAGAGGATATGAGGGCTTATTTTTTCAAATGATTTGTCACATATGATTTGTTATGAACCTGAACCATTGCTAAATAGCATTAATATACTTAAATCTACCCAACTCAATCCCTAAATTATAACTAAATAATTGTAAACCAATAAAGCTAACCGTTGCATCTCTGGCTAAATACCCCTAGCCCGCGGCAAAAATTCCTTCGTGACATGTGTTGATGATGTGTATGACGTTAAATCTGTATTCAGTCTAAAAATAATTCGTATTAACAATTTTCGTTTCTTTACTTATATGTCTTTTTTGTTTGATAACTGTTTTCCTTTCAGTTTTTGGACTCACAGTTAGATGACCCTGTATCGCGTGACCGGCCCCCCTCCCCACTGACCAACTAACGATGGTTCCAAAATGGCGGCGTTCACTACTGAATCCCACCGTCCGCTTTTTTTTCTTTCTTTTCTCCCTTTTCAGAGGAAACTTTGCAACAGAGACGTCCAATGCGGCGATACCACTCTGAGATGTAGGGGTGGCATCGGAGGGGGAGACCAAGCCGGGACAGTAAAGGGGTGGTGTGATACTAAAACTCCCGAAGAATACTGAAAAAAAAGTTAGCAGGTGCCAATCCTGCCCCTCCCCAGCAAACTTTTCATTTGGTTCATCCCTGTGACCTTTGACACGATGACGTCAGATCTCCACGTCTCACGGTGTTTTGAAATTGTTGTATTTCAGCGTAAACTCTGCAACCGGAGCAACGATTGCCAAAGCTCAGATGCAGAATTGGAGTGCAAAGGCGGGAGCGGGGCCAGCGACATTGCTGGGCTGAAGACTGGATACTGTGACCTCGTCTAAAACATTCAAAACTGTAAATCTCCAATTTCCGTAAATAATTTCATCAGGTTGGAAGGTAGCCTCTACCAGGCACCGCGGATCGCTGGAAAAATAGTAGAAATTTGCCGAAATAAAGGGATAGTATACCAGAGAAGATCTAGGTCCATAGAAGCTCCAATTTGCGACCCACGGAGTGAGCTATTGGAGCTTCTTTGGCCCTGGATCTTCTCTGGTATACTATCCCTTTATTTCGGTAGAGGCTAGTTGGAAGGTACTTAGGGTATAGAATTTTCTTCTTACACAACCAGTAAGGTTCTCACCTGCTTACGCTTCGATGGATCAAAGAAGCAGTCTGGATAAGAAAGTCAACCCCAGTGATGAACCGGGACGAGGGGGGGTACAAGCTCAGCCACGTTTGGGATTGCATTCTCGCCGCAAAAGGGCCACATACTTTGGCGATAAATAGCGGCGAGTTGCAGAACTCCAGTCAGAAGCTCTGAGGAAGGTGTCTGATAGACATCGAAACGTAAGCAGGTGAGAACCTTACTGGTTGTGTAAGAAAAAATTCTATACCCTATGTAAATCTCCAAGCAGATCTTTCAGTGGTCGCAACTTTCAAAAGAGAGAAGTAATCTTCAAGACCTAGATTAGATAGAATGTGTTCTCCAGTAGTAATCATAAGACTTTTACGTTATTCCTTTATCCTATGTACTTAATGTTCCTCAGTATGATGTACATGTAACATCACACTCTGATGTATGCATTTAGCTCCATGGGCATGAACATGCAAGTAAAGATTCGTATATTAAATTGGTCAGACAGTATCCATTGGTTACCCGAGTGGCTATTACTCCCCTGGCCAATGAATTTAGCCTTGCCACCGTATGATCTGCTTGGAGATTACAAAACAGTATTTTAAAAGTACTTCGTCGAATCACATAATATAAATTTGCCAAAAAACAGTTACTCAAGCAACTGGATATGATTTTGAAAATCATGATTTTCAAAATCATATCCAGTTGCTTGAGTAACTGTTTTTTGGCATATCGTATTACCTGGATGTCTAACCTTCATCGACGCACATAATATAAATTGTTAACGTCTTCGTCTTTGTAAGAAAACCAGGGGACTTGAGTAAAATTAAAGGTGTTGATTGTTTCTCTGTTATTATAAAGTTGATTCTTATTGATTCGTTGAAAAAAAAAGTCGTTTGTAAATGCCGTAAAATGTGTGGTCAAAATGATGGTCCCCACCTCCAAATGAAGTGAAATAATCGTTTAGTTTCTCTAAAGCCCATTAAACAATGTACTGTCTATGTGTACTATTATGATACCAGAATGTGTATCTTTTAACCCAATAGAATATTATATACCATTGAGTTTCATTTTTAGAAACTACAGAAAAACTAAGTTGCTAACTGCCATATTGAAATACTAGTATGATAGCCATATATAGATAATACATAGATATTGTTTGAAATCTCGTATATGTAGCACTGTGTACCTTTGCTACAACAGAATTTCCACGTACTATCATGAAAGTTCATCTGTGTTGGGTACTAGTTACATGTTAAAAATGAAAACTTTTGGTCCAACACAAAAAGTTCTCTCACCTAGAGCTTTCGACCAGTCACTCTGGTCTTCCTCAGTAGACTGACCCAGTGAGGCTTGTCACGTGGCTTCTTTGAAGTGTGACATCAACACTGAGGAACACCAGAGTGACTGGTCAAAAGCTCTAGGTGAGAGAACTTTTTGTGTTGGATCTAAAGTTTTAACTTTAAACAGAATTTCCACGTATTCTTTCTTAAGTCAATAATGGGAAGGGAGGGTGTGTGTATAAGATTATGGTGAGGATGTTGTATACACTACATTTTGAGTACACGAGGGAGCTGTAGGTACTAAGTTAGAGAATGTACTGCATAAAATCCAATATTTAAGCATTCCTTAAAGTCTGTGTAAAAGTCCTGTTTTTTTTAATCGACTGAAAAGCAACAGAACGTTTACTAACGGTTTAAGTTATGCTTGAATATCTAATCTCATACTGTAATAGAGTGTATCTTAAACATATAAAAATGAACATTATAGTCGTAGCTTTAACATAAGTGAAAGAAGTTACTTTTCTATCGTATAGGTCGAAAGTGTATTATTAAGGTTAAATGCGATTAAAATGTTGACCAGGATTAAAACCAACAGGGTGATATATTGATACTGTTAATTGTTATACGTATATATATTTGTGTACTTGTATATGCTCTTGATGGAGAACCATGTGTGTTATTTTATTACATTTATTGCTTCTATAAGATGTAAGGGATTCTTGTCCTTTTTTCTTCAACGTTATGAAGACAGGTGTAGAATGTCCAGACTGTGCATGATGTACAAAATGACTAATAAACTGGTGGAAGTACCAACCACTAAGTATCTGATACCAGCCCAGAAAAGAACAAGAAACAGTCATGCCTTCAAATATCAGAGTTATCAACCAAGAATTGAGGTATTCAAAAACTCGTATTTCCCCAAAACTATCGTAGACTGGAACTCGTTGCCACCAAGCACAGTTGGGCATCATCACTAGAAAGCTTTAAACAACTCTTGTAATCAAATGTGCAAAGATTGAGTGTAACAAGTCGTTCGGTGTGATATAGCTAGCTGCCGCCTCGCCGCGTGCCTGCGAAGTTGGTGTGTTACCCCGAAGGGTGGTTATACTGGCTATACTGATACAGATACAGATGTATGTTTCTTTTGACACCCCATTATCACAATGAGCAATGCAAAATACTGGATCCGGGCGTGTTTAAAATTTCCCCATATAGCACGAGGGTCAGTGCCATATCTGAGAAGGGAAACACACATACTCTCCAAGAAGATGATTGATCTGTTTTTAGACGTTTTATTAGCCTTTTTATGCGTTTTGTCAGCATTTTGTTTGGTATATTCTGGCCAGAATAAAACGTGTGGCAATATGCCTAATAAAGTTCATGTAGCAGGTTCACATACAACAACGGCATGGCTGTATCTTAGCAACGGTGAAGGTCACGATTTCCTTTATCAATTTCGTTATCAATTTACTGATCGAGATAAACAATTAACTCGTTGTAACCTTTGGTCCAATAGTTTGTTGATAAGGAAGCTTAGGCCACAGCAAGTAAATTTTATGGATGACATCCTCCGCAGACTCCAAATCTAATGCTAGAGGGCGAAAAAAAACAAGGCAGGCCGAAAAAAACAATTTACTACATTTTAGAATTTTGATTAAATCACTGTATAAATGGTTTTGATTCATTGGGAACATCACATATACACAGCCAACATCACATATCACTGCATCAAAGTAAGAAACAAAACATTAAATCAGAGCCTTTTCTTGTCTCCTCTCTTTATATGTATCTGCCATCCACCTTCCTGCATGGCATCAGACATCTTTGCCCATTTTTGGCATGTTGACCACTGTCAGAAGGACCAAAATTTCTTTTTTTTCCCAAAATCAGGCGTAAATTAATGCGCGCGCTGATGTCATCCATAAAAATTACTTGCTGTGGCCTTAAGTGAAAAACAACTCTCGACCAAAACAATGGCCGTTCAAATTCCTACCTGGCCACGTGTACCCAGCACGCGTCCTTTCCCTCACACAGGTGAAATTCAAGATGGAAGGGTGTGAATGGGGTATCGAAATATTTGAAAAATCCCTTTAATGTCTCGAAGTGTTAACTTTCGGCTTCTGTAATGAAACATGTTTTCTTCTCGAAATCATTGTCAAACTAGGAAGGTGACATTTGTAGAGCAAATATAAAATGTTTACCTTAACATGGTCTAGTCCAACATAGTACAAACTACTGCTCTCAAGTTAATTGTTACTCAAACAGCTCTATCGTGCTACATAATGTAACCCAACACCACACGCTGTCTGCTACAAGGCTAGTAACCATGGTGACAGCCACCTGGTCCAGGTCATTGTTTGAAACGGACGGAGAAGAAACAGAGCAAAAACAGTATATTTTCCTTCTGCGAAGGTCAAATGCAGCAAAATTAATCAATTTCGTTATTCGCAAATCATGCCAGGAGCTAATCAATTAATGATCAGAAGTGATTTGTTGTAAACACGGTTACTCGGAATACCCCCAAGGGAGCCCTGATGTTTTTGACACCTCAGCAGTTTGCCGTTCCGGTCACCAGACATCAATGTCTACTTCAATCAACAACATGGCACCAGAAAAGCTCGCTATGTTCCTTCTTGGCGTCTACCTAGTTGTAACCCCCGTACTCGGTGTGTACGACAGAGATAGGGATGCTCTTCTGAAGGGGACGTTTCCAGAAGATTTCATCTGGAGCTCGGCTTCGGCTGCCTACCAGATAGAAGGGGCCTGGAACGCTAGCGGCAAGGGTCCGTCCGTCTGGGACACTCTGGCACATCAAGGCAACAGACAAGACACAGGTGACGATCTGCAACTACTTTTAACTTACATGGTCAAAGCTTAGCCTCCACCAGGCCTTTCTACGGGAATACGGATCGTAGAATTCGGCAAAAAAAGAGAGTAAAATTGGCCAAGAGAGTCCGGCCACGGGGAGGTAGTTTCTTTCCCTCTGAACTGCGCCGCCAAACTTTCCTGGCAATTATTCTCATATATATAATATAGCCAGCGTAGTTAGTCTGGTAGAGACTAGTCAAAGCTAGCCTCTGACAGGCTGAAATTGGCCAGATTGACAAATAACATTCAAGGGGAGTTGGTCTGGTACTGAAGAGAGGCAAACTCACCTTTAGCTGACTAACTCCTATGGTATGTTATCTGTCTATTCAGCAAATTCTGTACTCTTTTTGGCACGCCTTTAAAAGCTGTCTTCAACTGAGGTCAAGGCTTGCCTCTTACAAGCTTCAGCAGCGGCTGAAACTTACCAGATAGATACATATCGTGCCAAGGGATGGTTAGTCAGCTAAATTACAATTTAAGCGGCAAACTGTACCCCTTTAGCGGACCAACCCCCGCCATATGTTACCCGTCTATTTGGCCAATTTCTACTCTTTACAGCCACCTTTGACAGCTGGTCAAGGCTGGGTCGAGCAAGGCTATCAGATCCATTTCGTAATGACTCCTTGGTGAATTACAACTTTATGGCGAAGATAGTTGGATTAAAGTATAAGGATTCCAGCGTGTTGTATAATATCTAAATGTTGATTACGAATGAGTGCAAGTAGCTTCATATGTAGACTTTCTAGGATCAGCGTTTATTTCTACGAGCGGCTAGAGAGGGAGGTGGTTTCTTTCAGGGATGGCCTTTTTCGTGAGGGCCTGCAAGGGGGGGGGGGAGGGGTCCCGGACAACGCTCTACGCTGAATTCGGAAACCTCTCGATTACGCTTTACGATAAATTCCAAGTGGCTACAACGCATTACGTAGAATTAATACGCCAAATACGCTCTACGCAAAAATATTAGAGCGGTCCGTCTACGCTCTACGTAGAATTAAAACGGCCGATTACGCTCTACGGAAAAGGACTTGCGACCCCCCCCCCTCCTTTCGTGGATGGGGGGCTGTATCTACAGACAATATCTCTAAGCTAAGTCCCTGTTTAATTACTACCTGGCATGTCACGGTGACCGCACGTTCCATTGGATGACCTGAAAATGTCAGGGTCGCGCTGTCCCTTCCCTGACATCTAAGCAATGTTACCTGTGACAAATCATGTTTTGTTGCCCTAGTTTTGGAGACGTCGCCCGTGACAACTATCAGGAGTACCCAGATGTTGTGCAGCTGATGAAGCAAATTGTTGCGTTGTTGCTCTTCTTACGGCAGTGCTGTCTGTAACTTGGCAGCTGATGTACTGTTGCCCTACTCTAGGTGAAGTTGCCTTTGACAGTTACCACGAGTACCATACAGAGAACTTCCAGTTCATGTATTGCTGCCCTTCTTTGGCTTTTAAAAAGGCAATATTGTCTGTACACGTAACAGCTGTATTCAACAGTAACCCTACTCATGGTAATGTTGTCTGTAACTTGGCCGCGCATGTTGAGCTACCCTTAGACACTAGGTGATGTTGGCTGTAACAGTTGTTCTTGTCCTCTGCCGTGTGATGTTGCCTCTGAACAGTTGTTACCCTTCTATAGACGATGTGACAGGAGACCAATGGATACGGGTGACCAATGTAGACCAATGAGGTCTCCCATTGCCCCATAGAATCTGCTTAAAGATTATGTGACAGCTGTCACCAGAAAATATGGCATTGCTGTACTGTCATTTCCCTTTTCCCAGGCGATGTTGCCTGCGACAGCTACCAAAAGTACCAAGAGGACGTGCAGCTGATGTTTCGTTGTCCTACTTTTTGTGATTTTGTCTGTAACAGTTGCTGTACTTGTAGGTGATGTAGTCTGTGACAGCTATCAGTTGTACCCAGAGGTTGTGCAGCAAAAATGTTGTATAATGCCCTTCTTCAGTCACGGTGACAGAACATACCACTGAGTGACATGACAATGCCAGGGTCGCTGCCTGTCCCTGACTCGTAGCTGCTGTTATCATATCTGTGACCAATCATGTTTGCCCTACTTTAAGTAACGTTGTCTGTGGCAACGTTACTATTAGAAGTGGCCAGATGTTGTGCAGCAAATATTTTGTAATGCCCTACTTTAGGTGACGTTCCCTCTGAGAGTTTTTGCTGACCGAATCTATGGGGGCCCGCAAGCCCTTTTCCGTAGAGCGTAATCGGCCGTTTTAATTCTACGTAGAGCGTAGACGGACCGCTCTAATTCAACGTAGAGCATAATTGACGCTTTTTGCGTAGAGCGTATTCGCCTTTTTAATTTTACGTAAAGCGTTGTAGCCACTTGCAATTTATCGTAAAGCTTAATCGAGAGGCTTCCGAATTAGGTGACATCTAGGTGATGTTGCCTGTGACAGTTAACACAGGTACTGTACAGAGGACGTGCACTTGATGTATCGATGCCCTAAGGCAATGTTGTCTGTACATGTAACAGTTGTTGTATTAGTACCCTACTCACGGCAATGCTGTCCGTAACTTGGCAGTTGATGGACTAGTATTGTTGCCCTACACTGGGTGATGTTGCCTGTAACATTCGCTCTTGTCATTTTCCACACAATGTTGCATGTGACAGTGGTTTTGCCCTTCTCTAGACGATGTCGATGGTGTCTACGATAGCTTATGTATTATTTCCCCTTTTCAAGGCAATGTTGCATGAGATAGTTTTCACAAGAAAATGTTATTTCTCTCCTCTGGACGATGTTGTCTTTTTCCATGTGATGTTGCCTCTGACAGTGGTAGTGACTCTATAATCTATTGTGTGTCATGTTGCCTGTGATGGCTTAAAGTCAATATTCTAGTCGTTTATCTACACACTGAGTTTAAACCACACCATCCCAATGTATATTCTCCCTCTTTTCAAAATTTTGACAGGAAATGGTTACTGGGGTGCCTCCCAGCAATTATAAGACTCATCTTGGGGGCTTGTTTCTGCAGTTGTGAAAGCCCAAGGTATACAACACAACGTCTTGTGATTACATGTTGGAAATTTTTTTTTTAAATCAAAATATTTCCATTTTTGCTGCCATGAAATCGCATTGGATGCCTTTAAATGTTATTAACCTTTTTCCAGGTGATCATGATGTAGCCTGTGACAGCTAGTGTAACCTTGTTTATAGGCAATGTTGCCTAAATAGTATGTAATCTTATGTATTGTTTCCCATTTTCCAGGCGATGTAGCGTGTGACAGCTACCACAAGTACCCAGAAGACGTGCAGCTGATGAAGCAGATGGGACTGAAGTACTACCGCTTCTCCATATCATGGCCCAGAATCTTCCCTACAGGTCAGGCTTCATAAAAAGGGATACTTTTGTTTACCGAAGGAAAACATATTGTTTTTGCTCAGTTTCTTCTTCCGCTTCTTCTTCTCCAAACAGTGGCCTCAATGACCTGACCCAGACTGTTTACTCTGTTACCATGGTAACTAGTTTTGGGTTACATTATCACTTACTACAAAGCACCGTCGTTTGGGGAAAGCGTAGGGTTCGCTGAAAGTTGCGATTACCTTTAAAGAACCAGACGTCTGTCACCATGGTAACAGGTGCTGTAACAGGCAGCCTGTGCTATTGGGTTACACTTAATATGTAGCGAGTCGCAGGACAGAGTTGCTTGGGCTGGTCACCGTTTAATATTATGTAAAAGCGTTGCAGTAAGAATTAAGAGAGCAGTAAAGACAATTGTTGTTTTTACCTACAGGTGAGCAACAGGATGGGGTGAACCAAGATGGCGTCAGATACTACAACGCCCTGATCGACGAGTTGATAGCCAATGACATCACGCCGATGGTTACCCTGTTCCACTGGGATCTGCCGCAGGTTTTACAGGTACACAAACTAAGAACAATCCCAAGAGGTTAATACAGAATACGTGGGATCGTGTGGCGTAAAGACAAAGCTCGAGCTCGGAGCCAAGAGGTCCTGAGTTCGAATCCTGCCATGCCACTGATCTTGTGCCCTTGGGAAGACACTTTACAATGTCTAACTTTCTCACTTTACTCAGGTTAAACTATGTCTGTTGTCCATTCATGTGTTTGTCTGCGTTGGTGACGATTTCGCCCCCCAGTGGGGATGAGATCACTAGCAATTTCGCCCCGCCTCCGTAGATCTCGCCCCCCTCCCGCCCCTTAATTAGTCTACTCTTTTACACCGTACCACAAGTATGACAGGTACACAAATTTGATTAACAATTCTATCGATATTATGATTGCATTTTTTCATTTCGTTTTAAGGACCGGTACGGAGGCTTCCTGAACAACCTCACCACCAACAGTACCGTGATCCACGATCTGTTCGGGGATTACGCCCGCTTCTGTTACCGGAACTTCGGGGATCGCGTGAAGTACTGGATCACGTTTAACGATCCCTGGATCATAGCTCTGGAAGGTTATGGCATCGGTGAGTGTTTGTGATCTTGTTAAAGAGAGTGGTGGCATTTTTTGTAACAAGCATTACGCATTTTGTTTTTTATTGTTTATTTGTTTGTTTATTTCAGTTTGCACATAAAAAAACAGTAAGTAATGAATATGTACAACCAAATGTGTGGGAGGACCCAAGAAACCTAAGGGTTTATCGAGTGGGTTCTCCTAATTTTTTAGGAATTCAGAAACTGAGAAAAGTTGTCTTTTCAGTGATGAATAGGTATTTTAGTCATCGACCATATCATTCGTGGAAATGTCAGAAAATTCAGTTTCTATTTTTCTCTATCTTTACTCATTGCTATTTTCTGTCTGTCTGCCTGTCTGGTTGCCTGTGTTAATCTGCATTTCTGAATTTCAGCCTTCCTACACATTCCATGTGCAGTTTTTTATGTCCGCATATTTCAAGGGAGTGATGTTCTGTTCTACGTGTTTGTCTTCAGGCACCTACCCTCCTATGCTTACTGACCCTGCCGGGCAGTACATAGCAGGACACAACATCATCCTGGCTCACGCCAGGGCCTACCACATTTACAACGACGAATTTAGGGCCACGCAGAATGGCAAGGTAATACTATCTACAGCACGCATTAAACCAGTCATAACTGCCTTGATGAAGATGACAGACAATCATCGATACGCCAGCTCTTGTTAAACAAGTGGTGTTGGATAAAAAAACATTGCTATTGTATTGTATTGTATTCTTTATTCGCACATAAATAAATAATACAAAGTTTATTGCAAATTCATGCCCGAGGGCTAATTGCAAGAACATGATAACGACAATAAACGGTAAAAAGGATAATAAAAAATTATAAAACCCAATTCACAGAAATTACATAAGAGTGTACTGAAAGAAGGCAGATACTAATTTAGTCGAATCGGGGTTTCCCCAAAAACTAAACTTAAACGACAAAGAAGCAGTAACTAACAAAAACTGTAAATTAAATTAAATTTCCAATACATAGCTGATTCAACATTTGAGTTAACAAACAAATAATAACAAATAGTATCAACCATTTGCCAACATGATGAAATTTTGTTTCTCGTCTGTAAATTATTTTCTTCTGCATGTCAGGTGAGTATCGCCCTGAGTTGTGACTGGGCCGAACCCAAACTCCCCCACCAGCCGGCGTCTGTTGCTGCTGCCGACCGGTACGTCCAGTTCTTCCTGGGCTGGTTCGCTCATCCCATCTACAAGAACGGCGACTATCCGGAAGTTATGAAGGTACGACAGTATTGGTTTAATATTATGTTTACAGTACCGTCACAAAAGGAAATACGTTTGCATTGTTTTTGCTCTGCTTCGTCTTATTCTCCAAAGTTACACAAAAGGTCAATGACCTGGACCACACGTTTGTCACCATGGTGACTGGTGCTGTAGCACACACCCTCCGGTGTTAAATTACATTATGTTTTGCAAGTTGCAGGACAGAATTGAAAGGATGGTCATCACCTCTTCTCTCAATAAAAATTGGCCTGCATTTGAGTAAATTCATATGAATGAGCAAAGGCTCAAACGAACAAACAAACAAACAAACAAACAATTTTTCAATCAAAACACTGATATCCAAACAGTTTTGAGGTTTGCTTTCATCCGAATATGGTTCTTTTTGACACTTTGAAGACAACCTTAGCGAGGAAGGCACTCGAAGAAGGCAGAACCTCCTCACGTCTGCCTGAGTTCACATCCCAACAGAAGTCCTACATCAGGGGAACCGCTGACTTCTTCGCCCTCAACTTCTACACAACCGTAGAGGTGGAAGACAAGGGCCATATTGTAACAGGTGAGTCAAAGATCAGAACGTTATAGTCAACTGCCTGATATACTAATATTAAGCGTTGGCCAAGTCAAATCCAGAAACACCATACGTAGCTTCAGAGCACAGTGAACCAGTTATAATTGCCTTGATTTAGATTGCAGGCGATCTTGTTGGGCAAGTGTAAATTAAGAAGTTTGCTATTCAATTAAAATGTTGGTGTTATCATGGAATTTTATCTGTGTTGGTAGTTACATGTTTTCAGTTAAAAGTTTTGTTTAACACTGGGTCAGTCCACTTAGGAAGACTAGAGCGACTGGTCGAAAGCTCTAGGTGAGAACTTGTACATTTCGGTTGGAACAAAAGTTTTAACTTTAAACAACGTTAGTGTATTTTCTATTGAGCAGATAATCCCACCTATTTCACTGACATCGATGTTATAAAAGACCACCCAGCTGACTGGCCGCAGTCGCCATTCGGTTGGCTGTACGTCGTGCCGTGGGGACTCCGGAGAGCTCTGGGATTTATCCGGAACGAATACGGAGATCCGGATATCTTCATAACGGAAAACGGAAGGTGGGCAGTTTGTGATATCGGATCTTTGTCTTGATATGACTTTTCTTGTTTTTTCTATGCAGTCTTTGTACTGCGGATAAATTATTTTGAGTTTGTGTGTGTGTCGTGTGAGTTCGTGCGTGTGTTCCTTGATAAAAGATTTTTAAAAAGACAGGAAGATAGGTCTAACAGGCAGATCTGACTATGAGCAATCATGAAGTTGGCCGGAGCCTGCTAGGTTTGTTGTGATCACCAGGATGGCACATGCATAGTTTTGACAGGCTGTTCGTTTCCTTGGAAATCCAGACCTCGGGGACTAGCTATAGTCAATCGCCAATTGGAAAATATGCGTTACCTTAAGCTCTCAGCTGAAAGCAGTGTTTATCCTACTAGGTTAGGCTTATTGATAGTATGTCAATCTGCCGTTTTGCTTGTGTAAACATATTCACATATTGAACTGTTAATAGCTTTGAAATCTCCGAATTCTTGTTTTAGGCCTGACCATGACCGTGATCCACCCATCCTGATGGACATGGACCGGATCTGTACCTACATGATGTACACCAACGAGGTCATGAAAGGTTGGTGTTCGGAGGTCGGAAGTGTTGTTTTGGGTGGTACTGGTTTTGTGTGTGTGTGTGTGTGTGTGTGTGTGTGTGTGTGTGTGTGTGTGTGTGTGTGTGTGTGTGTGTGTGTGTGTGTGTGTGTGTGTGTGTGTGTGTGTGTGTGTGCCTGATTATGTGTTGTGGATGTGATACTCCTTTTTTTGTGTCTGTTTGTAGGTGCGTGTGCATTTTTAAGTCCCTGTGTTTACGTGTCGGTGTGTGCATGTGTGTGTGCATGTAATTGTGTGTGTGTGTGTGTGTGTGTGTGTGTGTGTGTGTGTGTGTGTGTGTGTGTGTGTGTGTGTGTGTGTGTGTGTGTGTGTGTGTGTGTGTGTGTGTGTGTGTGTGTGTGTGTATGTATGTATGTGTGTGTTATTGTGTGTGTGTGTGTGTCTGTGTTTATGTGCGTGTGTTTGTGTGTTGTTGTCCTTACCAACGAGATCACTTCTGGGACGGAAGTTTTGTTTTTGGGTAGCACCGGTTTAGTGAGATTTGTATGTGTTGTGTCAGCAGGGGGATTGGAAGTGGGTGGGTGGAGAGTTGGGTATCAGTTGATAGACGGGGTTGTGATGAGGTAGCTACGAATGTGGCTAGGAATGTGCCAGTAAGTCTTCTTGATAAAAATGTTCCCAGTTTTAGTATTTCCTTGTTTTGTTTTCGCGTGCATACATGGGGCGCGGCCATGATGAAACCTGACGTCATGCAGGCGCCATGTTGAAATATGACGTCATGGCGTTAATGGCTGTCACGGCGTATTCATTACATTATCTATTAATCTATTATTAGTTACGTATACTTTTTTTCTTTGTTCCTCTGCCAGCTCGCAACCTGGACAACGTCAAAGTGAAAGCCTACACGGCCTGGTCACTGTTAGACGGTTTTGAGTGGATGCCGGGCTATACCGTACGTTTCGGGCTTTACTACGTGGACTTCAGTGACCCCGACCGCAAACGATATCCGAAGGCTTCGTCCATCTTCTACAAACAGTTGGTGAGAAACAACGGCTTTCCTGAGGGGTCAGAGTTCACCAAGTACGTGGAGACCATGTGGGACGTCTGCCACAGGACGCCACAGGCAGGACTGCACGGACGCACAGGGGGCGCTTCTCAGATCTCGCCCCTGGTCTCGCTGTTTCTCGCGATACCTGTGGTGGTTGCATACAGCTTTATTGCTTGAATAAATGGCTAATAAGGCTCATGCAATCTTCTGGATAGTCCCCGCGTATACAAGAACGTAGACTTGCTTCAGGCACGATTCTGGATACGGGGTGTGGACATTTCTAGAACCGTATCTGAGTACAAGTACCTGAGTGCGGTTTTGGATAAAGGAGCATAAAGCACGGTTCTGGATACGCGCGGACTATCCAGAACCGAGTCTGGGCATAGTTCTGGATAGATCAAGGTTCTAGATACATGCAATATCCGTCAATTGCTACATGGGACGATTTCCAAATCACGTTTAGTTCTCGTTTTATCTCGCGTTGTTTTACATGGTCTGCTTTTTCATCGATCAGGTGAGATTGACGTAGATGGTGCTGCTAGCTCAATTTTTTCCAATCTTAGTGAAATGCGTGTTTCATTGAAAAGTGTATTTAACCCTTTCTTGCCTTTTTTTAACCTTACAACCATTACAGTACATAGTAATGATCAAAATAATGACCATTTGCCTTACAACGCTTAACCATGTATTTGCCTTGCAGAGCTTAACCACTGTCAAACTCAACATGTTGACATATATCTGTACGTTGATTTGTATCCACTTGTTTGTTTGTAAGTATAATTGTTTTGAAAACCTTAGGTAAGTCGCTGCAGTTCTGTTGTGTCAATAAAGATTGCTGTTTGCGATTTGTTGTCAGTGTTTTCTATGCTTTACCGAATTATATATGTACGTGCAATCTCTATGTAAAGCATCATTAGAGGTCGAAACAAATGTACTAACTGGATTGACGTTAAACTTGCTCAAACACGTGTACCGTCACTTCAAGCACATAGGTCTGGTGATATCTGGCAACTGGCCAGGCCCCCGCTGTCAAGCCATATACATATGATCCTGTCAAATACATGACTCCGACATTACTTGGGGTTTTCAATATACCTGAGACAAGAGGTGGGACGGGTTTAGTTGTGTTGTGGGAGACTAAACCTACCCAATCGTAGGTCTAAACAATGATCCCAACCCTAACCCTAACTCTAATACTTGGTGAACCCTACCCCTAGCCTTAAACACCTGACCTCACGTCTGTGGCAGCTCAAGGATTTAACTCAACTCCCTTACCCTTCTAAAGGGCACCACGCGTCGGCTTTTGAATACAAAGCTATCAAAAGTAGATTGCTCTAACTAACATCAAACAATAAGTCAACCTTTCCCTTTGTGCAATGACGCTATGTTGACGAAGGGGGAGGACTACGCTGTACCGCGTACGAAACGTCGCGGCTTCAAAGTTTGCACAAAGAATTGACAGACCTTCAAAAACCGATAACCTTTGACCATTAGATAATAAATTTAAACTAGTTGAGGACAGTATTGGACAAGCGATGCTTGAGGGTGGGCATGGGGATATCATGTATGCTACAAAATGTAGCAATCGTTTCTGAAAGACCTCCCGTCAACTTACTGAAGTTTCTGAATCATTGAAATCAGCCTAGCTTTGCTCCAAAACATAGAATTTGACAAAATGCAAGAAACTATAACAAACGTTTCTTTACTCAATACGATAAATCATGTGTGTTGACGAAAAACCCCAACATTGCCCTCGCGTCTGACTACTTAAGTTGTTGAGCACCAGCCTTAAGGTCATTTTGCAGCGTCTCTGGTACCTGTAGGTTTCATCATGGCACCTGAAAAGTTCGTATTTTTCCTTCTTGGCGTCTTCCTTGTTTTTACTCCCGCTTACGGAGCGTACGACAAGGAGAGAGACGCTCTACATAAGGGGACGTTTCCGGATGATTTCATCTGGAGTTCGGCAACGGCTGCGTACCAGATTGAAGGGGCCTGGAACGTTAGCGACAAGGGTCCCTCCATCTGGGACACTCTGGCACATCAAGGCAAAGTCAACAACCGAGACACAGGTAAAGTTGTTCTTTTTTAACGGCGGGACAACGAACAAAAATTGTTAAGGCCACACAGTAATTTACCGTTAAGATTAAGCGTACATTAAACGATAAATAAGCCACTCTTCTAGGCTTTGATGGACGGACAAGCAGCTAGCCATCTCTGTAAGGTCTTCTTGGTACTAATTGCTGAAAGGAGCGGTCAAGTATTGATGCAAACGCACTTTATACGGCTTACCTCACTTCATCACGGTATAAACTAAGTGTCCGACTTTGGTTAGGAAATAATTATAAGGTAAAAGGTGGTGGAATAACAGGGATGGGCTCCACCTTCCAATACTATGTCCTGGGACATATCTTAAGAATGTTTTAGCAGACCTTTACATTTTTATAAGATGTTTGATGAAACTAGATTCAGGGACAGTTAAAAAGACAGAAGAGAAAGTCAGACCTCCACTGGATGATTATTTCTTAGGCTTTTTTAGGTAGGTTTTTATAAAAGATCACTGAGAATCTGCGCACCTGTTTTTCTTTATTTTTACCCTGAACTCTAACATTGGAATTGATCGTACTGCTTTGTAGTTGCCGTTTGTTCTTGACGGACGTATTTTTGAAAGGCTCGAGTCTTGACAGTTTGACGGTTTTATTACCGGGTTTATGGCTAGTGTTGCGTTGTCTACGTGCAGACAGAAAAGGACAAAACGTGTTACTGTAAACATTAAAATGTTCGCCGTGGTTTTATTTTCGCGATTTGGCGAATCCATGGAGATGATTTCTCATAGTTGTACTAGTCTAGAAAATTTTTTAGACCAGAAAATTCAAACACTATGAAAACCTCAACATTAAGCTGTGAAAGAAAAATCACCGCGACAGTAAATGTATTTACGGTATATTTACATAGGTACATATCATTGTGACACATCTACTATATCATTGGGAACAAAAGAAGTTGATGACGTAAAATGACAAGGCAATTTTATGCTCAGTAAGAGTTCAATGTTACATCATGCTGGGGGGTTATTTCTTACGTAATCAACTAAATCAATAATTTCAAAGTCCACTTGTTGGATATTGGTCCAATTGCGTATGCTACAGAACCACATTTAGTAAAATAAATTATAAGACAATGGGTCCAAAAACCATAGGAGGCATGCAGAGCAAAATATCACCCCGGAATACCTATAGTAAAGGGTTTTAAAGCTGTGCAGAGTGGTTTTGTGTGTACAATGGTGAAAAACAAGTCAATTATCCAAGGCAAGGTAAATAGGCTTTGAGGATGTTTGGTTTTGGTGAAAGATAACGGCCAATTACTTATCCATATCTTAACGACATACATGTTCTTTGACAATCACACAATAGCCTACAATAATTACTGTACAACGATTTTTGTGCTGTCAAGGATATTCTAGATCTCCTTCTGCAATTTGTGCAATATAACGATCATGACTGTCAATCACAATTATTTGTAAAACCAATGACAGCATAGCAGTTAGCAGTTCAACCAATGAGAGAATGGCTACACGTCCTTCAAATATTTGAATTTGTATGGTTTAGTTTGCATTTCCACGTTTTGAAGAAAGTGGGTGGGGTATGGAATCGATCTATTACACAATGTGTTCATTGTGCATTGTTTCTTGCTAAGGGACGCCTTCTTCAATATCAAAAGTTCTTTATTCACAACTACTTATTCTAAAAAAGCCATCTTTTCGATGACCGTCTGTAATCTTCATCAGTTCAATTATAAAACGTCGTCTCTTGTTAAACACGTAGTTGTCGATAAAGAATTTTTAAATTTCTATTCAATCATTCACCAACCGGCTGAAATTTGTCACCGAGGCACGCCTCCATGTTAATAAAGAAAGTTTATTGCAAATACATGCCCGAGGGCTAATTGCAGTTACAAACAACATAGAAAGAAAGTTAATAAGGTTAATAAGGTTATTGATGAGTTAAACACAATATCCTTCAGAATAAACGACGTCATTTGACAGCTATGATTAGGGACGTGTTGTTACTGTGATGCCGATATTTACACTTACTACAGCTCCCCTCCCAGAAGACAAGCACTCTACAGAACAGGCAACAAATTTTCCCCTGACTGGAGTTAAAACTAGACTCCAAAGTTCAACGTTCTTTCTACTAGATAGTCTGCCTATAGAAGACTACTTATAATTTGGCTGATATTTACTCTCACTGCAGCTCCCCTCCCAGAAGACAAGCACTCTACAAAGCAGGCAACAAATTTTCCCCTGACTGGAGTTTAAACTAGACTCCAAAGTTTAACGTTCTTTCTACTAGATCGTCTGCCTATAGAAGACTACTTATAATTTGGCTGATATTTGCTAATATATACTGGCACTTTAGAGCACAGGCAACAAATTTTCCCTGACTGGAGTTCAAACTAGACTCCAAAGTTCAACGTTCTTGAGCACTTCGACGCCTTCTTGTTTGATCTTATGTAATGGCTTATCACTGATAAGATACTGGAGTTATCTACACTCAAGTTCGGGACCTATTAAACATGCAAGATTTGCAAAGCATAAAAGAATGTTTAGTTAGTGGCGTAATGGGTGTCAATTTAGTGCGTTGAATTAATTTATCATCTAAAGTACACATTTCTTTTTTTATCAAATAGACGGACGTTACCGCTTCATTACTCAAAGTAGGACCTTTGATCCTGCACAAGCCTGTTCCAACTACTAGTAGCTGATACATTTTCATGTACTGAAACTGTGAAAAAGCAATACTGAAGGTCAAGTAGTGTTTTCACGTCTGTCTCAAATTAACTGTGCTCACTGGTTGAAAAAGGTTTCCCTGTGAAAGTCGTAAATTAACACAGTATGCATGGAGTCACTACTTCAAATAATTCTTCAAGCAAACTGAAGTAGGCGGTCAAGGGGCTATGTTCAAACAGCTACCATAAGAAAATACATTTTTACCTACTTATAGGCTATGTTGCCTGTGGCAGCGAGTGTAACCTTATGTGTTGTTTCCCTGATAAAGGCGATGTTGCCTGTACGTGATAGCTGATGTGTTATTTCCTACTTTTTCCAGGTGATGTTGCCTGTGATAGCTTTAGCTAGTGTAACCTTATGTGTTGTTTGTAGGCGATGTTGCCTGTGTAACCTTATGTATTGTTTCCCATTTTCCAGGTGATGTAGCCTGTGACAGCTACAACAAGTACCCAGAAGACGTGCAGCTGATGAAGCAGATGGGACTGAAGTACTACCGCTTCTCCATATCATGGCCCAGAATCTTCCCGACAGGTCTGTATATATAACAAATCTGTGTTTATATCGGTATAGTCTCGATATAGCTCAACCAGGACGGGGGGCGATATGGACGTCAGACAACCTTTGACCCTTTGCTGACGTCACACGTGGGAAAAATCACGTGTCTACAGCATTTTGTTCAGATAGCTGAGGAAGACTGAGTGATTCAGTCGAAAATTCCTGGTGAGTCAAATTGTGAGTTGGAGAACAGTTTAAATTTTTCATAATGTAATTTACCAACTCAGATGAACTTTCATGCTGATAGCCTTATACTTCTCTACACCGAACGACCTGTTTCACCCAATGTTTGCACATTTGATTGCAGGAGCTGTTCGAATAAAGCTTTCTTGTAATTATATCTCCTGATAACTGTGCTTAGTGGCAATTCGTTGTACTGCTCTTTAAAAGACGTTAGTTTTTCTCTAAGTGACCTTTGCGTTTTCTTGTTTAGGTGAACAACAGGATGGGGTGAACGCAGATGGCGTCAGATACTACAATGCCCTCATCGACGAGTTGATAGCCAATGACATCACGCCAATGGTTACCCTGTTTCACTGGGACCTGCCGCAGGTTTTACAGGTACTGTGATATTAAAACCATCCCCGATAATGTGTTACTGTTTTGTGTGGCTGACTTGTATATTTGTGGGTCTGTTTGTCCAAGTACAAATGTATTTATGGTGGGCGGGCGGTGATTTTGGCAGTTGATTGATAGGGAAAGTTCAGGTCTGAAGGCGACCTAGAATTCGCCGGGTGGGAGTGTGTGCCATATGACAGTGGTGTAATACCTGATTGAATTACATCTACTATGATCTAGCAATCCCCTACCCAACTTCCAAAACATTCATGAAAACCTAAAACACTTTCTGTGAACTTGAAGGTCACAAAAACCCCAAAATGTTTTCCCGACGTCTGAAACCTTAAGATACATCAGTAGTGTTGAGATACTGATTTACTGTTTACAGTAACTACTGACTAACGGTGACCACCATTAGTCAATAACTACTGGCCTAGGATAGTTCAATTGCAATGTCTTCGTCAGCAGGCAATAGCACAGGCTAGTTTGGCTGCCCTGGCTATGTGTGCCGAACATCCAAACCAATCAATAAAGTAAATGAATATACGATTCCCTGTATTTGATGGTGTTTTTCACAATTGTAGGACCGGTACGGAGGTTTCCTGAACAACCTCACCACCAACAGTACCGCGATCCACGATCTGTTCGGGGATTACGCCCGCTTCTGTTACCGGAACTTCGGGAATCGCGTGAAGTACTGGATCACGTTTAACGAACCCTGGATCACGGCATGGCTTGGGTACGGTATTGGTGAGTACGTCTGTCAAGTCTAACATCCATCCATCCATCCATCTATCTAATAGTATATCTACCTATCTAGTACCCATATAACGTTATATATATCCATCTAATCTATCCATCCATCCATCCATCCAATCTATCTAAATATCTATCTAATCTATCCATTTAATCTATCCATATAATCTAACTATATCCATCCATCCATCCATCCATGCTTCCATCCATCCATCCATCCATCCAACCAACCAACCAACCAT